CGGCCGTGTGCAGGGCAAACGCCCTATCCACTGTGCCATCGCTCCAGCCCGATTAATTAATTAATGTAATGTAATTAATGTTTCAATAAACATGGAAGTACAAAGATCTTTTTTTAAAAAGAAAAAGATATGCCCAAGTTAACAAAAGCCGAGGGATTTGCCCACACTACACTTACCCTACAGGAGAGATCAGGAGAGTTTTGCAAGGTGAGCTGAAGCAAGGTTAGACAGTAAATTGAAGCCACTGGAGAAATGAAGATCCTGACAGAGGTAACTGCGGCCAGTTAGATATCAAACCTGCTGCTATTTTCATAATGAATTTTAACTTCATTTAAAATTTTCTCTGCGATTTCAAAGATTCAAGACCAGCCTCTTTGTGTCAAAGCTAGTCCTATTGTAACTATGCAGAAACCAAGTCTTGTTTTCATTGTAATTCAGAACAATATCATTTGTTTTTCATTAATGCTGTGGGTCCCTACCCCTATTGCCATACTCATGCTGCATGAGCCGCATCCCTAGCCCTGAAGGCAGTCCGTGTGGGAGGAGGAGAGAGCTCCAAGAATGGAGTATATGTGAGGCGTGTTGGAGACCTGGATTAGATTCCCAGCACCGCACGATCCCCTGAGGAATACCAGGAATTAACCCCAAGCACCACCAGGTGCGGCCGCACCCCCACAATCAAAAAATAATTTGTTTGGGAGCACACAATGAGTAAAGATGTGATTTGGTGGTGTCATCTGATAAAAGCAGTAGGAGGGAGCCCTAAAAAGAGCAGTTTGAAAAAAAACTTTAATCTCTAATTCAAACTGCTACAAATTCAGATTGGTGTTATGCCTTTGGAATGTTGACCACACTATAAACCACAAAGGAAAATTAAAGACCAAAAGGACATGAGAATGAAATTTAAGTGATTCACTGCAAGACAAGCAAAAAGGACATCATGTGGGGGCCAGAGAGATAGTACCATGGCTAAGATGCTTGCCTTGCATGTAACTGAGCCTCTTTTTTTCCCCTGGCACTACATACTATGGGCAATGCCAGAAACAGGCCCAGAGTAAGACTGGATATGGCCACCCCCAAAACCAAAAATAAATAAATAAATAAATAAGCAAAGAAATAATATCATTATGCAGGAAATGAAGTGGGAGTATTAGTCACATGGAAAACTAAAAGCAAGGGCTATAATAATAGTACAGCTGGAAGGGCATTTGCCTTGTATGCAGCTGACCCAAGTTCAACCCCCAGCATCCCATATGGTCCCCCACGCACCGCCAGGAGTAATTCCTGAGTTCAGAGTCAAGAGGAACCCCTGTGCATCACCGGATGTGACTCAAAAAGCCAAAAAAATAATTAAATTAAAAAGAACAGTAAAGGGGCTGGAGCGATAGCACAGTGGGTAGGGCGTTTGCCTTGCACGCAGCCAACATGGCCGACCCTGGTTCGATTCCCAGCATCCCATATGGTCCCCCGAGCACCGCCAGGAGTAATTCCTGAGTGCATGAGCCAGGAGTAACCCCTGAGCATCACCGGGTGTGACCCAAAAAGAAAAAAAAAGAACAGTAAAAACAAAATGAGAGGTGTCTTTATCAGATATTACCTTAAATATAAGTGAATTAAAAACTCTCCACTCAAAAGATTGGAGATTGGCTAGAATGGATCAGAACACTTACTCCAACTCCATTCTGTCCACAGAGATGTGCTTTAGGTCAAGATCAGAGATTTTCTTCCAAACCTTGCCCCTTCCTTTTGCCGGGAGTAGCAATAGATTTCTGTCAACACATAAATTATTTCTTCAGTTTCTAACTCCTGACCTTTGATATGTTTGGGAAGGTGAAGGAGATTTAAGAGTCAGGAACTGATGTCTGGGGCCAGAACAAGGGTACAATGGCTAGGACAATTATCTTTGCAAGCAGTCAACCTGGTTCAATCCCCAGCACCCAATATGCCCCCCCCCTTAACAAGCCCCTCTAGGAGTGATCCCTGAGCACAGAGCCTGGAGTAAGCTTTGAGCACAGTTTGGAGTGGTCCCAACACAGCAACAACATAGACCCCCCAAAAAAAACCTGCTGTCTGGCCATTGTGAAAACATTATAGATAGCCTCACTTATGCTATTGTATTTTATCCTTGTTTTTGGGCAAACCTTCCTTTTCAGTATCCTGATGTATGTTTTCGAGCCCGAGTCGGCCATGTTGGCTGAGAGTGTCTCGCCCACACGGCAAAGTCTGGTAAGCTACCAGTGACATATCATATTCGATATGCCAAACACAGTAACAAGTTCCACAATGTTACTGGGCCTGCTCAAGCAAATCGATGAATAATGGGAGGACAGTGACAGTGACAGATGTATGCTTTAAATAACACACTGGAAGATTTGAATTTTATAAAGAGTAATGTAAATTTGGAATGGATACTTGTAATTCTTATTCATTAGGAAAAAAGGTAGGGGCCAGAGATATAGTACAGCAGGTACTTTGCCTTGCATGCAGCCGACCCGGGTTCAATCTCTGGCATGCCACATGGTTCCCCCGAGCACCACCAGGAGTGATTCCTGAGTGCAGGATCAGGAGTAATCTCTGAGCATCGCCAGGTGGGGTCCAAAAACATTAAGAGGGCTTCTAGTTATTTTTTAGTTTGGAGGCCATACCCGGTGGCACTCAGGGGTCACTCCTGGTGGTGCCGGAGTGTTGCCATGAATTCGCTCACTGTCACGCTCCCTCTTCTCTCTCTCTCTCTCTCTCTCTCTCTCTCTCTCTCTCTCTCTCTCTCTCTCTCTCTCTTCTCTCTCCAGCTTTTTGTTGTTGCTATTGTGTTTGGCAGTCAGCTGCCTAATATGTGCTTTTAAATGAACTAAAATACATGTATTTTGTTTTGTTTAGGTAATATGGATCAGCACTTTACTTGTGTTACTGATAGGTTTCTGCCAAGTGTTGACATCATCAAGTTGTATCTTTCTACAGGTTTTTTGGTAAGATCTACTAAATACCATGTGTTACAAGTCCTCGGGATCCTTTCTCACTGTGTGTTAAGCCAGTAGCAGTGTTCTCCTTTCCAGAGCATTCTACCTTGCTCAGGTGGTGAGATTCTATGTAAAGAAGCTCCCCTCTTGCCTGTCTATTCATTCTTGGCTCAGGTGAAATCTTTCAATTAGCCCATGAACACCCTGGGTCACTTGGTTTTATTTTGTTGTTTTTTTTTTAATACCCCACTCTGCTTTTTGAAAGATCAGCTATTATGATCTTCCATTTTATGGATCTGATTTGTCCTTTTGAAGCTGACAGATGTAGCCTGTTAGAGTAGAAAAAAAGTTACCTCACATGGCCTTGAGAAAGAATCTTTCCCTTTATAACAAGGACCACATTGCAGCTGTCATCTGGGGTCAGGAACGTTTTATTCCTTTGATTCAAATCATGGCAGTTAAAAAAAAAAAGGACAGAAGAAAATTAAATCAAATGTATTTTTAAGAAAGTCATTCAGCAAAAGCTAACAAAAAGATACGTTAAAAAAATGCACAGACTGCCTTTTTAAAAATCTCTCAGTGATATAATAGAAGCAAGCATTCTCTATTTCACAAGGAAAAATACATTTATCCAAAAGTATGCTTTGAGCTAGTTCCTGGTTTTCTTCTGGATAAACCAGACATATTATTTTTTTTATTTACAACTATTGTGAATGCAAGTCCTTTGAATTTTTAAATGCCTTTGTATTTGAGAATATGTATTATGGAAAGTAATTATGTCAGAGGGAGCAAGACCTACAGAGCTGGTACCATATCTTGGTTCTCAATCTTATATCCAAGCACTCTGGGGCAGATCACCTAACCTCTCTGATCTTTCTTTCATTCTGACCTCTGAAGAAGGCAGTGGTTACCCGCCTCTGCACAGTTGTGACGTTCTCATTCTCTGAATGTCAATAGTATAAATCATAGAGAACATTTTACAGATTGCTAATTTTTTGTGTATTGACATTTTTCAAAATGTTTTATTTCCTGTGACATTTAATCTCTGTCAAGTGAGGTCTGGAGGTGGGAACTAGCCCTACGGTCTCAGAATCAGTGAGTAGAAGCTGATAAACTGTCAGCAGTATTTGAAAACGGTTTATTTATACATGCAATGAGCATTTACAAAGGAGATATCAGTTATGGGTAAGTCAAAGGGGTGATTAGAATTAGGGACTTATTTACGTCTCCTTTATTGGGGTGTGGGGGATAGGTATTGGGGCCACACCTGATGGTGCTTGGAGCTCTGCACTCAGGAATTACTCCTGGTGGTGCTCAGGGAATTATATGGGGCATCAGGGGTCGAACCCTGGTCAGCAAACAGCCTACCTGCTTGTCTCTCCAGTTCCTACCTTTTTTTGGGGGGGGGGCTTTTTGCGGCACACCCAATAATGCTCAGGAGTTACCCCTGGCTCTGCACTTCGGAATTACTCCTGGCAGTGCTCGGGGGCCATATGGAATACTGGGGATCAAACCCAAGCAGGTCAACCACATGCAAGGCAAATGCCCTTCCCACTGTACTATCTCTCCAATTCCAGGTTCCTGTCTTTCTTTCCTTCTTTCCTTCTTTCCTTGTTTCTTTCTTTCTTTCTTTTTCTCTTTCTTTCTTTCTTTCTTCCTTTCTTTCTTTCTAAATAAAGTGAAGTAGTTTTTTTGTTTGGGTTTGGTTTAGTTTGGTTTGTTTGATTTTTGGTTTGGGGCCTCACCCAGCAGTGCTCAGTGCTTCCTCCTGTCTCTGCACTCAGGGATCACACCTGGTGGGGCTCAGAGGGTTCAGAGTGGGCATGGGAATCAAGCCTAGGTTGGCCGCATTGCAAGGCGATTGCTCTACCCGCTACTGTACTCTCCCTCCAGCATGCAAAGTGTTTTTTTATTGAAGGAAAAGTACTTGGAGAAGTGTGAGGGGAGAGAAAGAGAGAGAAATAACATGTCCATGGGATAAAGCCTCACATATCATTTTAGCAAAGAGCAAAAAATTGTAGGAAAATGCTGAGATAAGAGGAAATGGGGGATGGCTTTTATGAGAAGGTAAATATATAAGCGAAGTTAATGGAAGATGAGGGTCACCTTGTTCACAGACCCATCGTGACACTGACCTCCTGTCTCCAGGGATAGTAGCTAGTGTCTTCTGCTCAGACAGACCAGGTCAGAGGAGCCCCTCCCAAAAGAAATGGATCCTTGGCTTTGTAAGCAGAGAGAGGAGAGCCAAGGGCTCTCTCTGAGTCTATTGTCTCTCACTGGTTCTAGTTCCTAATAATCTTGATGCCATACTTGCCCATTTGGGGGTGACAGTTGGAACCCCATCAGTCCTGTTTTGGTCCCTGTAAATCCTAATAAAAACTACTACCTCCTATCAAAGTTTTTGTTGTTGTTGTTTTGTCTTTTGGGGTGTGTGTTTGTTTGTTTGTTTGTTTGCTTTTGGAGTCACACCCGGTGATGCTCAGGTGTTACTCCTGGCTCTACACTCAGGAATCACTCCTGGTGGTGCTCAGGGGACCATATGGGATGCGGGAAATCGAACCTAGGTCAGCCGCATGCAAGGCAAACGCCCTACCCACTGTGCTATCGCTCCAGCCTCCCCTTTCAAAGTTTTATAGCCTCAGACCCCCTTCCTTGATTTATTCTGAAATTATTTTATATTTTTTGTTATGTTTCACAAAGATACATTTTTCTTTTTTTTTTTTTACTATTATTTTTTTTTTATTAGTGAAACACCATAAGGTACAGTTGTAGACTTACAGATTTTTGTGCTTGGGTTTCAGTTATACAATGATTGAGTACCCATCCCTCCACCAGTGCCCATTCCCCACCTCCAATGCTCCCGGAATCCCTCCCACCCCTTACCCCCCATCCCACCCCACCCCTGTGGCAGGGCATTCTCTTTTGTTCTCTCTATCCTTTTGGGTGCTGTGGCTTGCAAAAGAGGCATTGAGTGGCAAACATGTTCAGTCCATAGTCTACTTTCGACATGCATCTCCCCTCCTGGGAGGATCCTCCAAACACCCTTTATTTGGTGCTCCCTTCTCTATCTGAGCTGCCCTTTCCCCTAGAATGCCCGGCTGGCCTCTAAGCTATGGAGTAATCCTCCTGGTGCTGATCTCAGCTATTCTTGGGTATTAATCTCATATTTTGTTACTTTATATCCCCCAAATGAACTCGATCTTTCTATGTCTGTCCCTCCCTTTCTGACTCATTTCGCTTAGCATGATACTTTCCATGTAGTACCACTTGTATATAAATTTCATGATTTCATCTTTTCTAACAGCTGCATAGTACTCCATTGTGTAGATGTACCAAAGTTTCTTTAACCAGTCAACTGTTCTCCAGCACTCGGGTTTTTTCCAGATGTTGGCTATTGTGAATAGTGCAGCAATGAACACAGAAGTGCAGATGTCATTTCAACTGTACTTTTTTGCCTCTCTGGGATATATTCCCAGGAGTGGTATTGCTGGGTCAAATGGGAGCTCAATTTCTAATTTTTTGAGAATTGTCCATATTGTTTTCCTTTACTTGCTTGTTTTTCCCCTCTGCCCATCTCCCAACCTAGCCATTTACTTAGTGAGAGCTAACATCCCAGCTGATCCCCGTCAGAAAGTAAGTTCCCAAGGGCAGGGATTTTTGTCTGTTTTGTTCACTTGTTTCCCCGGACCTTGTGCCCCTTTCTGACTCGCAGTAAGGGTTCAATAACTATTTTCAAAACAAGTATGTTTTCCCCATCTGGTGAATGATGGAACTGAAACTCAGATAACTTGCCCAAAATGCTCTTAACTACTAGGAGAACGAAATAAAGTAACTTAGTGTCTGTGTCTTCTTGATTTTTAGAAAGATGTCTACTGGTGGTGGCCATATTTTTTAATTCCTTCTCATAACTGAGAAAGAGGGGACTTAGCGGTAAGGCTGTCTCTCTAATAATGGGTAAGGCACTTGCCTTGCGTTCCGTTGACCCAGATTTGATCCTTCACACCCTGAGTCTGCCAGGATTGATCCCTGAGCACAGAGCCAGGAAAAAGCCCTGAGCACAGCTGGGTGTGGCCCACCAATCAAAAACATTAAATAAATAACTGGGCTAGAACCAATATAACTTATTTTCTTTATACATTCGCTTTATTAAAAATTTAAACCAAAATAAGGAGTATAATTTTTTAAGCAGGGCCAGGAGGGGAGTGGATTTCTACAGGTGTTAGCATGTAGCTCTGATTCTTTGTCTATTCAGTGTCATAATATTATGATCATTATTTAAGGCAAGAGTACAGTAAGAATGAATTGAAACCTGTTACAATGCTAGTATAATCGGTTTCTGAGTTCTACAAGGGTACTTTTCACACGATTGTAAACTTATGATCCAAACTATAATAAATACAATTTTGAATGAAGGAAAAAAAATGTTAATTTTAATGAAAAAAATAAATAAGAGGGTTATTTTTAAAACCTTTTTATTCCCGAGGCTGGAATTACCACAAATAGCCTTTAGTGGTATCTGCTTTTTATGGATTTCTCCTTTTAAGTTGATAGAATATGCTTTTACTAATCAAATTGTCATTACTTGTTGTTTTCTCTTCCCGAAAGAAAATCCAGTGTATTTTCCTCTCTGAGACTCCTGCTTCTTCAGTGTCATCTCTAAACATGTTCACATCCGGAGGACTTGCTCCAAGCCTGATCATCACAAATAGTACATACACTGGCATCTTCCACTTCAACTTAACTTTGGTAAGTGCATTTTGTTTCATTCTGGGATGTTAGTCAAGGAGTCAGACTCTTTGTGATAGGGTGTTTTGGGGTGGGTTGGGTGGGAGGGGAGGAGGCACACCCAGAAATGCTCGAGGACTACTTTCAGCTTTATGCTCAGGGTCACTCGTAAAGATGCTATGGATACAACCCAGGACATCTGCATGCAGGGCCTGTATGGCACTTGTTTAAATAATTGGTCCAGGGCCTGGAGCGATAGGGTAGGGCGTCTGCCTTGCACGCAGCTGACCCGGCTTCCCAGCACCCCATATGCTCCCCAAGCACCGCCAGGAGTAATTCCTGAGGGCAGAGCCAGGGGGGACCCCACCCCCACAAAAAAAAGCAAAATAAACAAATAATTTGTCCAGTAATAGTACATATGTAGAGAAAGATTTTTCTCACATAACTGATAAACTGGGCTGGAGCAATAGCACAGTGGTAGAGCGTTTGCCTTGCATGTGACTGGCCCGGCCAAGCCGGGTTAAATTCCTCCACCCCTCTCAGAGATCCAGGCAAGCTACCAGGAGTATCTCACCCACACAACATTTGGCAAACTACCCATGACATATTGGAATGCCAAACACAGTAACAAGAAGTCTCACAATGGGGACTTTACTGGGCCCCCTCAAGCACATGGATGAACAGTGCTACAGTGTTACAACTGATATATTATACCTTCTGCTTTTAAAATATTTAAAAGAGCTTAATTGAAGAAAAGATACACAGTTTTTAAAAATTATCTACTCCAGGAGCTGGAGGGATAGCTCAGTGGGTAGGGCATTTGCCTTGCATGCAGCTGACCAGGGTTCGATTCCCAGCATCCCATATGGTCCCCTGAGCACCGCCAGGAGTAACTCCTGAGTGCAGAGCCAGGAGTAACCCCTGTGCATCGCCAGGTGTGACCCAAAAAGCAAAAAAAAAATAGTCTTTATTTCATGTTTACTTACTTTACTTTACTTTTACATGTTTATACTTTTGGAAGTAACTCTATTGATAAATAATTCATATACCCTAAATTTGCTTACTAGGATAAATAATAAAATGGTTTTTATATATAGAGTGTAACCATTACTACAACTATGTACTTTTAGAATTATTTTTATCATCCCTAAAAGAAACTCCCTCCCCACTAATACTCACTTCCTTTCTGGCCCTCTGTTCTCCAGTTCTAAGCAACTACTAAGCTACTTTACACCTTTTAGAGATGAAAATCCTAAACATTCACTTACGTGAGATGCTAAACACTTATTTGTATGAAATCATATAATATGTATTCTCTTGTGACTGTCTTCTCTTACTTAGCATAATGGTTTCCAGGCTCATTCACACTGCACCATGTGTCAGTTATTTTTATTCCCAAATAGTATCTCATTGTATTGATAACACATTTTGTTTATCCGCCCATCAGTTGATGGAAATTTGGTTGCTCCCAACTTTTTGGTTATTGTGAATAAATCTTCTATGAAAATTTATATTTTTTGTGCAGAAGTAATTTTTTAAATTTCTCTTGGGTGTATGTACAGAAAATGTAATTACCTGGTCAGATAGTCGCTATATTTTACTTTTTGAGAAATTGCCAGATTTTCCTCCAAAATGGTGGTTCCCTCTTCTATTTCCGCCAGCAGCATTTTGGCTTCCGGATTTCTCCAACATCCCCACCAACACTTGCTTTGTCTCTCTTTTTGAATGACACTGTCCTGGTACACGTTAAGTGATATATCTTTGTGGTTTGGGTTTGCATTCCCGTGATGGCGAGAGACATTGAGCCTCTTTCCATGTGTTTATCGACCATTTGAATATCATTGTGGAAATACCTATGTTGATACAACTCAATAATACATATCCTACAACTCAATTATATATACATATATACACTACACATATACACTACAAGATCCAGAGACTATAAAACCAAGCTCCCGGAAGCAAATGCAACCGTGCAACCTCGTATTGTCTAGTTCTCCCTCTCAGAGAACCCGGCAGGCTACCGAGAGTATCCAGCCTGCATGGCAGAGTCTGGCAAGCTCCGTTTGGCATATTCGATATGCCAAAACCCAGTAACAATGATGGGTCTCATTCCCCTGACCCTGAAAGAGCCTCCAATGTGGCACTTGCTAAAATCTCAGGGCTAGAATGAATGGAGACGTTACTGGTGCCTGCTCGAGGAAATCGACAAACAACGGGATGACAGTGATACAGTGATGCTATCCACTACACACATATTCAGGGAGAGGATTTGGGCCACTACTGTAAGGATAATTGCTTTCCTTTTGGTGTGATAGTCATGGCTCTGGAACACCGATCACTTCCAAGAGTTCTGGGGATTGTGGCTAGGACCTCACACGTGCATGCCATATGCTGGACTGGCCTTGGGAATGTTTTATTCATCTCCTTTCCAGATTGTTCTTTGTAAGTGTACAGAAATACAATTAAGTTTTGCATCTTTATCTCACATCCTGCTGACTTGCTGGAGTCAGTCGTGAGTTCTGATAGGTTTTTAGTGGTCATCTAAATTCCTGAAGGACAATTTTGTCAGCAACATAATTTCTGTCTTCATTATCTTTCAGCATTTGGGACAACTCATTCTGCATTTCAGATATGGTATCTGACCTATTTATTTCTGAACGGCAGATCAGGGGCTCATTTTCTTATTACTGACCCTTGTATATAATGCATCATTTTTTCTCTGGATGATTTTAAGATTTTCTACTGGCACGTACCCTGATTAGGCTCCTTGGATTGTAATTGGTCAAATTTGGAAAGCCTCCAGCCATTTTATTTGTCAAAAAAATTTTTGCTTCTCCTGCTTGCAACTATACTTTATGCCCATTTTGGAATGTATAATACTATCCCACAGATCTCTAAGGCTCTGATTATTTTTCTTTGTTTTCCCCCTTTTCAGATCAAATGATCTCAGTCACTCCGTTTATTATCTTTTCCTTCTGCTATCTCCTATTGAATTCATCCAGTAAAATATTTTATTTCGTTTATTACACTTTTCAGTCTTCTTACATAGTTTTGGATTTATTTTGACAGTGTTCACGTATGTGCTGGGATTCGCTATCTCTTCCTCCATTAGAACATTTTCTTTAAATCTGAGTGTCTGTCTGTCGTAACTGCTTTGAAGTTTCTGTCTACCCTCTGGGTTCACTGTGCACCAGTTTATCCCCGACCCCCATTATCGCTTGCACATTCCTGTTTCATTTCAAATCTTGTCATTTTTTGGTTTAAAACTGGATACAGGGCTGGAGCGATAGCACAGCGGGTCGGGCATTTGCCTTGCACACGGCCGACCCGGGTTCAATCCCCGGCATCCCATATGGTCCCCCAAGCACCGCCAGGAGTAATTCCTGAGTGCAGAGCCAGGAGTGACCCCTGAGCATTGCTGGGTGTGACCCAAAAAGGCAAAAAATAAAATTAAATTAAATTTTAAAAAACTGGATACAAAAGGACTGGAAAGATAGGCCAGGGACTAGGGCACAGGGCTTGCAAGCAGCTGGTCCCAGCACCACTTACTCTGTAATGCCTCATTGGGTACAGACCAGAGAACCCGGAGCACTGTAGGGGTGGCCCAGGTCAGGCTCAGCACATCAGTGCTCCAGCTGCACCCCATCCTCCTTCCTTACATTGACTCACTAAACCGGTAGGGTCAAAATTCACTGGGAGTGACTGCTGGGCTTCCTGAGTACCACTTCTTTATTTCCAATGGTCTTCTATTACTATAAATAATTTAAACATCCACAAGCACATTTTATTTCACATATTTATCTGTATAGTATAGAATAAATTCCTAAAAATACAGTTGCTGAGTGGGCTGGAGCAATAGCACAGCGGGTTAGGGCGTTTGCCTTGCAAGCAGCCAACATGGCGGACCCGAGTTCGATTCCTCCGCCCCTCTCAGAGAGCCCGGCAAGCTACCCAGAGTATCTTGCCCGCACCACAAAGCCTGGCGAGGTACCCGTGACATAGTCAATATGCCAAACACAGTAACAATTGTCACAATGCAGATGTTACTGGGCCCGCTTGAGCAAATTGATGAACAACGGTAGGACAGTGACAGTGAGTGAAAGGTATACACACTAGATTGTTTTGTTTAATTTTTTATAAATATCACTTAATCACTTAATCACTTAACTTCCCGTTAGTCGTCGATTTGCTCGAGCGGGCGCCAGTAACGTCTCCATTTGTCCCTGTCGCGTGCTAGTGTAGCCCAATGGCATCTCTTCACTCCGGGAACATGGAGGGCCTCAAACCGATCGTTCATGATCTTGACAAAGAAGTCTGACCATCTGGTAGGTGGGCGGCCACGCGGTCTCTTGACATCCCGTGGAATCCAATCAGTAACAGCTCTAGTCCAACGGTCGTCTTTAAATCTCATTACGTGACCAGCCCATCTGATTTTCGACACCTTGGCAAATGAGACAGCGTCCCTGATCCTTGATCATCGAGGGATGTCAGAACTCCGGATTCATTCTCTCATTTGAGTGAAACGTGATATTCCAAGCATAGCTCTTTCTATTCTTCTTTGGGAGACCTGAATGGCGTTCTCATCTTGTTTGCGTAGGGCCCAGGTCTCTGAGGCATATGTTAATGCAGGAAGAACAGTGGAATCAAAGAGATGTGCCCGGAGCCGGAGGTTCTTCGTCCTCTTAGCTATTTCTTCGACGTTCTTGAAGGCGTTCCAAGCCGCTCTCTTCCTCCTGCGCAGCTCGGGTGCCAGGTCATTTCTCATGTTGACCTCTCGACCTAGGTACACATAGCTGTTGCATTCGGAGATGGTCGTTCCATTGAGAGCGAATGGGGCGTCAGGAACAAGGCTGTTTCTCATAAACATTGTCTTCGTAAGATTCAGCTGTAGTCCTACCTTTCCACACTCACGGTCAAAGTCGGCCAGCATTTGTGCCGCTTGGCTGATGTTTGGTGTTATTAAAACAATGTCATCAGCAAAGTGGAGGTGGTGTAGTTGCCGACCATCTATCTTCACTCCCATTCCTTCCCATTCCAGTCGTCGCATGATGTTCTCGAGGGTGGCACTGAAGAGTTTCGGTGAAATGGTATCACCCTGCCGCACCCCTCTCTTGACATCAACGATCACTTCTTTGTAGAATGGTGAGATCCTGGTAGTGAATCCGCAATACAGCTCACGGAGGATCCTGATGTATTGGGCTTGAATGCCCTGATTGGCTAGGGCTTCAATGACCGCTTCCATCTCAACAGAATCAAAGGCCTTCTTTAAATCAATGAACGTTAAGCAGAGCGGCATCTTGAACTCCCGAGAAACCTCAATGAGCTTGGTTACCGTGTGGATATGGTCGATGGTGCTGAATCCTTTGCGGAACCCTGCTTGCTCGCATGGTTGTCCTTCATCTAGTATTCTGCCAATCCTATTCAGGATGACTCGAGTGAACAGCTTGTAGATGACAGACAATAGGCAGATCGGGCGATAGTTGCCAATGTCATGGATGTCTCCCTTCTTGAACAGTAGTACGGTCCTGCTGGTTTTCCGTTGGGACGGAACCTTGCATTCAGACAGGTAGCGAGTGAAGAGCCTTATATTTTATAAATATAAGGTAGATAAAAAAATAATTGTTCTTGTAACATTGGAAAACGTTGTTTTTCTGATATCTTTTTTAGTAATACAAGTTTAGTTCCTTAAATATAGGGACAATAACAAAATAATTGTTGCTTATAACATTGTAAAACGTTGTTTTCTGATGTCTTTTATATCCCAGTTTAGTGACCAGATTTACTGGCTCATTGATATTCCCAGGGAAAATATTACCCGAAATACAGGTAAGAGTAATCTAAATTAATTCCTCTACTTAGAGGTCTAATTACCAAGATTTTCAAATAAAAATATCAATATATTTAAAAGTTGCTATTCCATGGAAATATCTATAATTTACTATATGCCTAATAAATTATGTATGGATCATCTGAAATTCATATTTAACTGAGATTCCTGTATTTTATCTCATAAGTCTATTATATGTTGATTGTTCTGAGATACATATTTTTTTATTCATTAAAGTAAACTCACTTTTAGAACCTGAACATTATAGTATTGAGAAATTCAGGTGTTAATTACACTAGTCTTAAAAATTAAGTGTGTGTGTGTGGGAGGGGGGTCTAAGTGATAGAACAGCAGGTAGGGCATTTGCCCTGCATACGACTGATGTCCAACATCCCATATGGTCCCTTGAGCACTGTCAGGAGTGATTCCTGAGTGCAGAGCCAGAAATAGCTCCTGAGCACAGCCGGGTGTGACCCCCCTCCAAAAAAAAATTAAGCATATTCTTTTATTATTAAATCTACTAATATATGTTATATGGTGGCCCAGTTTTCCACCCACCATAAATATTCAGATGTTAAAAGAAGGAAAATCAAATTTCAGGACTAGTGAGTACTGAGCTAGATTTTTGAGAATAATTTTAAGCTCAAAACAGGAAGGAGAAGTTGGTATTCTAAGATGAGCGCTCAAACTGGAGAGATGGTACAGTGGATAGGGTGTTTGCCTTGCACATGGGCAGCCCAGATTCAATTCCTGGCATCCCATATGGTTCCCCAAGCACCACCAGGAGTAATTCCTGAGTGCAGAGACAGAAGTATGTCCTGAGCTTTGCTCAAAACAAGACAAAAAAACAAAGGCATGCGCTTTCTTTATTGGATTGTGTTTATGCGAAGAGCAAGCTCATTTTTCTGGTTCTGCCTCCAAATCTCTCCCTTGAGAGATTCTGTTGTATGGATGAGGTGATGTCCAGGATTTGCAAAGGGAATGAAGTATCACTTATTCCCACTGAAGAGATGTACAGATTACTTGACAGGGGCAGAGAGAAATGTGATCAGAAATGTTACCTTGCCTTGAAGTCTTCTGTTAACTCTACCAATCATGGGTGCCATGGATTGGACAATGCCCCAGAGCAAGAATGACTTACTCATGCAGTGATATTAAAACTTGGTTCTAATACTAGAGTTTCTGGGTCTGCTTATCAAGTTGGTGACTTCAGGATTTAAAAATCAAAAAACAGTAGCCCTCATTTATAGGCAGAAATGTTTTTTTACTGGAGCTTCTTTTCAACGGGCCCCTGGTTAAACTGGCAGGAGATGTTGGTGGTAGCTGACCGGTGCTTCACACCTCTGCTGATTTGTATTTTGTGGATTTTGAAACCCTGAGTAGTACATGAACCTGGTGAAGAGAAATAGACTTTATATGTTCTCAATGGATTTATACTCTCTATAAAGTATTCAGACTTTATAAAGAAAAATAGTATTGACATGTAACTCACTGCTGAAGAGAAATAAATCAAATAAGTAATTGGAAGGAGTTCCCTCTTATATTGTGGAAGAGTTTTTGTAAAATCGGTAGAATCTTTTTATTTAATGTTTTTTATAGGATTCGCCAATATTTCTTTTTGTTTGTTTGTTTGTTTTTCTATGTAATATTGCCTTTATTAAGTACTACGTACTCTCATGTTTTCTATCTTTTTTTTTTCGTTGAATATTTTTTTAATTTTTATTAGTGAGACATCATGAGGTACAGTTGTAGACTTACAAATTTTTGTGCTTGGGTTTCAATTATACAATGATCCAATACCCATCCCTCCACCAATGCCCATTTTCCACCATCATGGGTCCCAGTATCCCTCCCACTCCCCATCCCCCCCATCCCACCCTGCCTCTATGGCAGGGCCTTCCCTTTTGTTCTCTCTCTCTTATTGGATGTTGTGGTTTGCAAAAGAGGCAATGGGAGAATTCACCAATATTTCTTAAACATTTCTTTGGTGGCGGCTCAGAGAGATAGTACAGGGGTCAAGGCACTTGCCTGGTACCCAGCTAACTCTGGCTTGACTTCTGAGCAGCATTTTGGTCAACGTTCAACAGATTTATCTGAGAGTCAAGAAGTGTGCAGAAGGACCGGGGGGATAGCTCTAAAGGCTGGAACTCATGCTTTACATACAGGGGTCCTGTATTCAATTCCCAACCCTCCATGGTCCCCCAGGAACCACCAGAAGGGACACCCAAGTGCTATTGAATATGGTCCAAAAACAAAAGCAACAGGGGCCAGAGAGATAGTACAGTAGGTAGGGTACTTACCTTGCATCAATGTGGTCCCCGAGCCCGCCAAGAGTGATTCCTCAGTAGAGATTCGGGACAGCTCCTGACCACTGCTGGGTATAGTTCAAAAACCCAAACTGGAAAGAAAAAGAAAAGCAACAACATCAATAAAAAAAAAAAAACCTGTGGAAAGAAACTATAGTTCGGATTAAAAAAAATCGAGAAAATACTGGATAGTTGTGTAAATGTACAAATCTAGACTTTGCTTCTTACTCTGTCACTTCATAATAGCACATCCTTACACTTCTCTGTCACCTTTATCAGAGCTGGTGGAAAAGTTATCCAAGACCTGTGGATACTCAGGGTTCCAACTCTCATCACTTGAAAGTTGGAGAAGGTTATGCACATACCAACTGTGAGCCAGTCCTGTCAAAAGCCAGTTAGGTTCTCTGTCCAACCACTTTGTGTTGTCCCAGCTACTTTGTGTTGACCAGCTACACCGGTTGCCCCTTTTCTAGACGCACATGCATCCTCACCACTGTTTCTCGGCCCAGAACTGCCTGTTGGAGAACAGTAACTTCATATTGTATAAAGAGCATTTGATCTGGAGCTGAAGCGATAGCACAGCGGGTAGGGCGTTTGCCTTGCACACGGCTGACCCAGGTTCGATTCCCAGCATCCCAGGGGTAATTCCTGAGTGCAGAGCCAGGAGTAACTCCTGTGCATCACAAGGTGTGACCCAAAAAGTAAAAAAAAAAAAAATTTTTGATCTACCTCACCAGCCACCAGAAGAGCCCCATCCTTGGGGGTGCCACGAAGAGATCCTTTGTGACCGAGATGCTGGGACTAAGCACTGTCTTCATGAACATCTCTGGTTCCAGCATCAGCTTCAACCTTGATCCAGGGCCTGCTCATCTTCTGTTTTCAATGCATCTATACCTTGATGTTTAAAGTGACGATCTTGATTCTTGCGCCTGATATGGGAACTGTATTTTCATGGGTATTGATGAACCTTTTTCATTTACTGTGATTGTTGATATAGTTGGGCTGGAGCAATAGCACAGCAGTAGGGCATTTGCCTTGCAAGCGGCCAACATGGCCGACCCGACTTCGATTCCTCTACCCCTATCGGAGAGCCCAGCAAGCTACCGAGATGCTCAATGAACAATGGGAGGACAGTGACAGTGACAGTTGATATAGTTTTACTGAAATTTACCATCAGGGAGTTTTCTTTCTGGGATTTTTTTCTGTCTTCATTTGCCCTATATTTTATGCTTTCGTTTTTATCTCTATCCTTGGTTTACTTAGACTTTGAAATGTTTTAGTGTCAGTCCTCAAGCTTCCACTCTATATTTTAATTAATCCTGGTCTGCTTCCAAATAATACTACCACTTCACGTAAAATGTCAAGATTTGCTTTATACAAGCCACCTCAATTCTCAGAGAATTGTGATCTGAAATATTGTTATTATTGATTTATGTTGCAAAAGGGAAAAAAAGAACATCAGGATTCATTGCTGTGCTGGTTAAGAGCACTTCTTCATTCTTTTCCTTATTTTGTCATTTAAGTGTTTATAGAAAAAACACTTGGGACACATTGTATATTAATTAGTTAATGATTGAGGGAACGTAGGAAATTATTACTGAGACTATTAATATAGCCTTAAATTTCACAAGACATAAAACTGTAGCTGATGATGTATCTTTTTTTTCCCAACAGATATTGCTTCTGTAGAAGAATGGTGGGTAAGAATCAGTCTAAAATATGGATTAGATATTTATACTACTGAAGGAACACTATTGGACACAGTTCGAGGTAAAATCCAACAGATGCAAGTTAAATACCAAGCCATGAATAATGAGATAATAGTGATCTTTGTAGGAATTAGAGTATGATGAGAGGGAGAAGAAATGAAATAGACACATGGGTGATTGTTCTGAGGTCTGCAGAGGAATCCGGGAACCATGGAAATGCTCCTTTTCCTGCAGCCCTGTGGAGTGTCACCAGTGAGCAGAGCTTGAGAAAGTCAGACTTTTGTATCTTCAATAAAGAAATTATGGAAGATACCCATCATTGCTTTATCTTCCTTATGAGAACCACCTACAAAGATCCTTTCCCAGTCTTGGTTAAGAACCATTGTGCTTGAAGCTGGAGCTGTAGTACAGTGGGTAGGGCATTTGCCTTATACACAGCCAACCCAGGTTCAATCCCCGGCATCCCATATGGTCCCCCGAGCACTGCCAGGAGTAATTCCTGAGTGCAGAGCCAGGAGTACCCTGTGCATTGCTGGATGTGACACCCCCCCCCCCAAAAAAAGAGAACCATTGTGCTTTTTCATGAGAACTTGCTAGTTTTAAGGTTGGGAATACAAAGTGATAAAACTAATTCGTCTACACCTTGTCGGTTCTCTGACCTGCAGTCCTCTCTTTTGCATCCCACAGAACACAATTGTTTAAAATTTTTCTTTCATACATGGGACAGATAGATTGCTCCAGAGCCAGAAGCCTGCCTCATGAGCAAAGGGGAGAAGGCAGCTGGAATAGAGAAGGGATCACTAAGAAAAAGATGGCTGGAGGAATCGGTCGGGATGGGAGAAGTATGCAGAAAGTAGATAAAGGACCAAACATGATAACATCTCAGGGTTTATACTGCAAACCATAAAGCCCAAAGGTAGGGAGAGAGAGTATGGGGAATTATGTCTGTCATGGAGGCAGGGGGAGGGTGGGAAAGGGGGGTTATACCGAGGATATTGGTGGTGGAGAATGTGCACTGGTGGATGGATGGGTGTTTGATCATTGTGTGATTGTAACCCAACCATGAAAGCTTATAACTATCTCACAGTGATTCAATAAAATTTAAAATAAATAAAATAAAATTTTTCTTTCAATTCTATAATTAGATCTTGTCTTTCTCTTCACTTTTATTTTTTTCATTTTTATAATTTTACTTATTGAATCACTGTGAGAGCAGTTACAAAGCTTTGGGTACAAGTCTCAGTCATACAATGAAACACCTGTACCTTCACCAGTGCCCATTCTCCACCACCAAAAACCCCAGTATACCCCCATCCCACACCCTCCCCATACCTGTGGGGCAGATGATTTCCACATTACTCTCTCTCTACTTTGATCACATTCAATATTTTGACACCAGACCCACCATTATTATTTGAGATTTTACCCCAATACTCAGATCTGCTGAAAAGGCAACAGTAGACAATTTGTTTTCTACTGTTGGTTAAGAATAATATATGATGTCACGTGGCTGCAGTAGTAGCTGCGCGATTTTGAAATTCCGAAATTTTAACACTTAAATCTGGAGGGATTTCTGCCAAAACCTGCTGGGTTCCGAGATTTGTTCCTGAGTTTCTAGGATCATGGCCGTTAAGCAGCTTGATCAGGAACCAAAGAGGCTGTTCGTGGGTAACGACTTGGGGTCTCGTTGGAGTGGGGAGGGAAGGCCTGGCTCCACGCCCATCCCATGAGGACCCACATCTTGTCACTGCGGGCCCAAATCTGACTCTCCAATGGCCTTTGGCGGATGGCAGCCACTGGGCTGCCTAGGGGGAGCAGGCGCGGAGGGACAGCACCCTTTCTCCCCTCAGGTGGCCCAGCGACAGTAACCTACTGCAGGGTCTGGACACATTTCTGCCAAAAGCCTCTGGGTTTCAAGATTTGTTTCTGAGTCTCTGGGATCATGGCCGTTAAGCAGCTTGATCAGGAGCCAGAGAGGCCATTCGTTGGTGGCGACTCATCTCGTTGGGACAGGGAGGAAAGGGCCAGCTCCACCCCCATCCCATGAGGCCCCACGTGTCTTGTCACTGCGGGTCCAAATCTAATTGTCCAGTGACCTCTGGAGGATGGCGGCCACCGGGCCACCAGGGGAAACAGGCCAAGGCACGAAACCTATTCCCACCTAGGGTGGCCCAGCGCCGGTAACCTACTGCAGGGACCAGGTGCAGTTCTGCCAAAAACCGCTGGATTTCGAGATTTGTTTTTGAGTCTCTGGGATCATGGCCATTAAGCAGCTTGATCAGGAACCAGAGAGGCCATGCCTCCAATTATATAGCTGAGCCAGAGGTGGTTTGTGGGTGTGTCTCCCACATACCTAACTTTTGGCCATTTACTTTCTTGGTAAACTTTGCCCCAAGTTTTTGGGGTCTGGCCAAAGGCACAGCAGCAATTTTGGGGTATCTGGATGTCTGAAGGCTCCATGAGGCTGCTGATGCACTCGCTTCACAGGTACAGGTTGACCTGCTGGCGGCACCATACCCCCAACACCACCACTTTCTTGCTGCCATCTCCTCCTTACCTTCTTGGTGGCAGACAAGATTTCCCACAGCTCCCTCATTCTGAAACTATTTAAGAGGCGGTGTCTGTCTTAAAGGAATTTGTGTAAAGAGGAATTTTAGGGCTGTGCAGTCATGTCTCAGAGTCTAGCTCCAACACCCCCCAGCCAACAAACACAGGCTAGGATGCCTCTGGAAGGCAACAACCCTACCCACTTTTCCTTACCTCTCAGCATGACTTATTGCTGCATTTGTTGAATTATAAACTGCCTCTTTTTTCCCCCCTGTCCTGGGCTTTTCGTCCTGGGTCAACCCAGATGAAAACTTAGCCCTTTCTTTAGACTGCGAATAAAGTGAACAACTTGTCATGCTTTGCCACAGATTTTATCCAAAAGTTTGGGAATATGGAGATTGGCATTGTAGAAATGTAAACAGCAAAAAAAAAAAAATGATTAGATATCTGTCCTTAAAGTTCTTTGACTATTTTTGAAATCCAGACAGCCGTCGTCTGTCACATTGCCCTGGCTAACTTTTATGTATTCTCTTTCCTCTTTTTTTTTTTTTTCAGAAGAAAAACAAACACGAACTTCTTTCTTTGGCATTAAAATGTAACTCTCTTATTCCCAGCCCTTTGCCCAAGATTAGATTGCTGGGTTGGAGATTGAAGGTGGCCCACCTCTGACTGATTTTCCCTGCTCCTTTCCATACAGCTCCTCTGAATCTTCTAGAAATCCTCAAATACTCTGGCCAACTCCCTCCTCTCATTGAGCGTCTAGATTAACTGACCTTTCTGTAGCCGTGGCTATAGTTTCTATGGGATTAGAAAAGAGGGCCCAAAGTAATTGTGTTCAGGGTGCTGGAGTAATAATACAGCAGGTAGGGCATTTGCCTTGCACGCGGCCATCCTGGGTTCAATTCCTGGCATCCTGTATGGTCCCCCAAGCACTGCCAGGAGTAATTCCTGAATGCAGAGCCAAGAGTAACCCCTGAACATTGGTGAGTGTGACCCACTGTCCTCCCGTTGTTCATCGATTTGCTTGAGCGGGTCCAATATTGTCTCCATTTTGAGACTTGTTGTTACTGTGTTTGGCATATTGAATACGTCACGGGGAGCTTGCCAGGCTCTGCCGTGCGGGCAAGATACTCTTGGTGGCTTGCTGGGCTCTCTGAGAGGAGCGGAGGAATCAAACCCGGCTCAGCCAGGCTGGCTGCATGCAAGGCAAACACCCTACGGCTGTGCTATTGCTCCAGCCCGGGACCTGGTTAGTACTTGGAGTGTGACCCAAAAAGCAAGAAAAAAAAAAAAGAAAGTATTTGTGTTCTCTTGGGGCCGGAGTGATAGTACAGCAGGAAGGACGTTTGCCTTACATCCAGCCGACCTGGGTTTGATCCCTACCATCCCATATGGTCCCCAAGCACTGCCTGGAGTAGTTCCTGAGTGTAGAACCAGAAGTAACTCCTGAGCATCGCTGTGTGTGATCCAAAAAGCTAAATTAATTCATTAATTATTTTTTAAAAATAATTGTGTTTTCTTAGAAGCAAAGGTGCCTCTCTAGCTTACCGATGTGCAAATTCTGTGGCCCACTAGTTTCATTTCTCAGGATAGATCTTCTGGGTCCTTGATGTTTTTCTCAAGATGGCCCAAACAGGGTCTGCATTCTTTCCTCAAGCCCTCTGCAATGCGATATTATAGGAACTTGGAGGAAGTCAATGGAATCAAGCCCATTCCATTGACTCTGGAAAGTCATAGTCGACAAGTTTTAACTAACCAAGAAGGAGAGGTGGTGCACCTGTGTTGGGAATTGTGGAATAGTTTCCAGATAGAGTTCCTTGAAAACCTTTGATGAAAAATAGAAATGTTCTATTTTCAAGAGCGTCACAACCTAACTTTGTAAATTCCTAACTTTGATTTCCACAGAGCCCATTCTTCAGACTAATGTTGGGGCTGAAATGACACTCGAGGAAATCACCGAAATTTACTCCTCCGTCAAAGCACTCAAGGTGACAAAGAGCCCTTGTGCAAACGACGTCGCACTGATTGGTTACATTTTGAACTTGAACCACAGTGGTAAGTTCAGAGTATCATTGAATGTTGAAGGTTGTCTTAAAATTGCCTAATAGATGTTTATTTAACTGGCAGTGAAGTTTAATGTGTTGTCGGAGTGGTAAAAAGTTTTTCCTACAGATTTCTAAGTATTAGGGCAAAAGAGACAGTACTTGATCGAGCAACTTGCCTTGCACGTGACTAATCAAGGTTTGGTCCCCAGCATCACATAAAGTCCTCCAAGTCCTCCAAAACAAAACAACAAAAACATAAGAACAGACTCTTCATTATATCATTTTATCATCTTTTATCATTATATCATCTACTTGTGAGTATGCATTGTACACTGCTTTCTCTGTGAGGTCCCGGGTTCAATCCCAGCATCCCAAAATAAGAGCAAAAGTTTGCCCTACCATGACACTATAAATTTATAGATGAAACTGGCATGTATTGGGTAATATATGGACAAAAAGACCCCAAATTTATTTGAATTCCTAACGGACAGTGTTACCATGTTTCAGTTATGTCTTTGACTGTGTTCAACAAATTTAGTTAGAACTCCCTCTCCCAATGTGTGTGTGTGTGTCTCTGTGTGTGTGCCATACCCAGCTGTGTCCAGGAATCACTTATAAAGGGCCTTGGGGGACCATACCTAGAGCCAGGGATCGAACCCTGGACAGCCAGGTGCTAGGCAAGCATCTTCCCTGCTGTAGCATCTCTCTATCCCCAAAACCTATCTCTTTCCTCTGTCAACCAGAGGAAACCCGTCCCCTTTTCCGGATTGGTCCTGTGGATGTCAGGCTCAGGCCCTTCCTCTCTCTGCAAACTCCACATACCAGTCCCTGCCTTTGCTCTGTGGAGTACAGCAAGGAGGACATCTTAGTCCTCATGACCAGTCCCTGAGGAGAAGAACATTCGCAAATTCTCAGGTTCTACTGCTGAACCAGCAGCAGGAAGCTGTTCTTTCCCCAGCTACCCCACGGGCACTTAAAGCCACAAAGAAATCCAATTGCATTGAGCTACCAGCACTTAAACCAGCAGCTCCCAGCATGGGCAGAGTCTGTCCTCTGCTGACTCCCTCGCCCCTGGAGCTGAGGGTTCAGGTATCCACTTGCCCCACATACCCCAGTCGACACTTCCGATCTCCCTTGCCTTTTGATGTCACTCTTAAAATATCTTCCTGGTTTACAGTGCCCACCCTGTAAGTTCCTCCCCCCACCCCCTGTCACTCTGTTTTCCCGTCCCCCAGACACTTCACTGATACCTTTCTTTCTCTGAACCTAAACTCTAGATCCACCCAGATCCTTTCTTTGTGATTCAGTCTATCAGCAAACTCTTCCAAAATGCTTGTCTTTTCCCATAACTATCTTGCCCCTGCCATCCCCAGCTAACATTCTTTTCCCTGCAACCCTCTACTCACATGTCTTGGGGGTCCTTGGGGGCATGAATGCCCCTTAATTCTTTATTAAGAAGAATTATTGCTTTTTAATAATTACTTCTGGAGGGGCCTGAGTAATAAAACAGAGGATAGGGCACTTAGTTTGTATGCAGCCAATTTTAGTTCAATCCCCACCACCCCATGTGGTCCCCCGAGCCCTGCCAGGAATAATCCATGAGCACAGAGCCAGGAGAAAGCCCTGAGCATAGCTCGGTATGAACCCAAGTGCAAAACAATCATCATCCTCATCATCATCCTCATCATCATCACTGTATCACTGTCATCCCATTATTCATCGATTTCCTCGAGCAGGCACCAGTAACATCTCCATTCGTCCTAGCCCTGAGATTTTAGCAAGTGCCACATTGGAGGCTCTTTCAGGGTCAGGGGAATGAGACCCATCATTGTTACTGGGTTTTGGCATATCGAATATGCCACGGGGAGCTTGCCAGGCTCTGCTGTGCAGGCAAGATACACTCAGTAGCCTACTGGGTTCTCTGAGAGCAAGAACTAGACAATAAGAGGTCGTGTGGTCTCTTATTGTAATTATAATAATTATATGTAATTATTATAATATAATAATAATAATAATTACTTCTAGGACTGGGGCTCGAGCGATAGCACAGCTGATAGGGCGTTTGCCTTGCACACAGCGGCTGACAACGGCCGCTCTGAGTTCAATTCCTCCACCCCTCTCGGAGAGCCCAGCAAGCTACTGAGAGTATCTCGCCCGCACAGCAAAGCCTGGCAAGCTACCCATGGCGTATTTGATATGCTAAACACAGTAACAAGTCTCACAATGTTACTGGGCCCACTCAAGCAAATCGATGAACAATGGGAGGACAGTGACAGTGACAGTGACTTCTTAGGACTGAAGAGATACTCCAGCAGGTAGGGTACTTGTCTTGTATGGCACTGACCCAGATTCGATCCCCAGCACTACACAAGTCTGCCAAGCTCTGCCAGGAACGACCCCTGAGCACTGCTGGGTGTGGGGCAAAATTAAAAATAAAGAATTACTTTCTCACAATGCCCAGTTTCTACCATTTCAGACTTTCCCTCTTTCTGAACCGCATGTTGGCTGCCAGCGCAAGTGACCCTCCAAGCACACATGCATGAGTCTAGCTGCTGGTCCCCGATCTTCCTCTCCATCTTACTACTATTATTATCATCAACATCATCATCATATTATTACTATTATTATTATTATTATTTAGGGATTTGTTTCCCAGAAATGCTTGGGGAATAATCCGTCTTTGCCCCCAGGTAGCATTTAGAGAATCACATGGTGCCAGGGATTGTATCTGGGGCTCCCACATGCAAAGCTCCTTTGAGCCATCTCTCTGCTCCCCCCCACCCCCGCCACAATAGAGATACTGAGAGGTTATCATGTTTGGTCTTTTACCTACTTTCAGCACACATCTCCCATCCCGAACGATCCCTCCAACCATCGTTGACTTAGTGATTATAGTCATATTATTTTTTTCTTTTTTCTCTTTTTTTTTTTCCTTTTTGGTCACACCCTGCGATGCCTAGGAGCTACTCCTGGCTTTGCACTCAGGAATTACTCCTGGCGGTGCTCGGGGAACCATATGGGATGCTGGGAATCGAACTCAGGCAAGGCAAACGCCCTACCCACTGAGCTATCGCTCCAGTCCCAATGGTTATATTCTTGACCTTGTGTCTCCAGCATGCCATGTTCACCAAAATCTTCACAACCAGCCTTCCCCTCTGCTCACACCCGGCCGTCCTTTCAGCCTGCTCTCACCTGCACACGGCATTTCTTTGATTTCTTTGGAACTCCTACCAATTGTCCCTTTCACATGTTTTTCCCCCCTCCAGCATTCTTCTCTTCTTGATTTCTCCCCACAATTTGCATAGCCCATATTTACAACTTCTCCCATAATTCTTTTGTCTCTCCCTCAGTGCTAGTTAAAAATCACCTCAACACCCAAAAGGAGAGAGAGAACAAAAGGGAATGCCCTGCCACAGAGGCAGGGTGGGATGGGGGGGATAGATGGTGGGAGGGATACTGGGATCCGTGGTGGTGGGAAATGGGCACTGGTGGAGGGATGGGTATTTGATCATTGCATAATTGAAACCCAAGCAGAAAAATTTATAAATCTACAACTGTAACTCACGGTGTCTCACTAATAAAATTTTTTTTAAAAATCACCTCAACTCCAGGTCTAGAGAGATAGTGCCACAATTTAGGGGATTGCCTTGCACGCTGCCAACCCAGGTTCTATCCCTGGCACTCCAGATGGTCCCCAAGCCTGCCAGGAGTGATCCTTAAGTACAGAGCCAGGAGTAAGACCTGAGCACAGCTGGGTGTGGACCGAAAGCAAAGAAACATTTAAAAAAAAAATTCCACTTGAACTCCTAACTCAGAAGGGCAAACTATTGCTAAGAGAGGGAGGAAAAAATGCACACTCGTCTCAGTTTCAAATGATTCCAGTGACGAGCCATACTGTAAATTCACGATAGCAGATCTCGAGTGCTCTGGGTACTCAGCAGTGCCCGGAATCCTCTCTCGACCCTGGAATGTTTATTTTCCCACTCTGCCAAGTGACCTCCTCACATCACACCACGCCTCTCCATCGCCCGTTTTAACTTGTCACTCACAGCTGTGCCTTTAGCGAATGCCTCCTGTGAAAAATCCGGGGGCTCCCCAGGGCACCCATCCAGCTGCACCCACAGGTCTGCACCCTGCCCCTGTTTACCCTCTGAGAGAGGCATCTCTGCAGCTCTCCAATGCCTCGTCACCCCCGTGTTCTTCACCCCTGGGTTCTTTCCCGGCAGCCCTCTGAACATCCCTCTCTGGGTCTTTCTGGCAAGTCCCCGCTTTCTCTCCCACGTCCTCAGGCCCCAGGCCAGCAGCATGTCCTTGTTGTCACATACTCTCCTCGTGATGAGCTTGGGATGGCCTCTGTGCTCACTCATGCCACCTGCCCCTCGTAGCCCCCCATCGTCAAGAAAAGTCTCCATCTCCCGCTGCTCTCACTCCCCCATTTCTGTGTCTTTACACAGCAGAACGAATGCAAAGAACTTACGGCAGGTGGTGCTACGTTTTCCACTCACCTTTTTTATCTTTACTTCAGACCAGACATTGCGCCCTGTAGCTGTGGAAACAGTTCTTCCCAAGCTCAGTCATAATAATCAGTGTCAGTACTCACGTGTGTGACTGGGTGGTGGTGATGGTGGTATGCGTGTGTGTGTGTGTGTGTGTGTGTGAGGGGGGTGAGGAAAAGAGAGGTGTATGTGTGAGAGAGAGAGAAAAAGAAAGAGGTGTGTGAGAGAAAGAGAGGTGTGTGTGTTTATGTGTGTGAGAGAGAGGTGTGTGTGAAAGAAAGGTGTGTGTAAGAGAAAGAGAGATTATGTATGTGTGAGAAAGGTGTGTGTGTGACAGAGAGGTGTATGTGTGTGAGAAAGAGAGAGAGGTGTGTGAGAGAAAGAGAGGTGTGTGTGTGTGTGTGTGTGTGAGAGAGAGAGAGAGAGAGAGAGAGAGAGAGAGAGAGAGAGAGAGACTGTGGGCTCAGACCTCACAGGATTTAATCCACACAAAGCCTGTAGCCAGCCTATGAGCTATCTCCCTAGCCCATTATCTTGCCAGTTCTTAATCCTCGGTGACACTTTCCTCCCCAGCAGTATTTAACACTGTCGACCACTCTTTCCTCAAAACACTATCCTCTCACCAGCCTTGGCTTTGCCATCTCACATCACTGGCTCCTTCTCTATCTTCTCCGACACCTTCTGCTCAGCCTGGCAGTCACAGTGGTGCTCCTTCCTCTTGACACCGAATTCAGTCTCTTGCCTGTGCTGCCATCTTCAGGCTGACCATTTCGAAACCTTCATTTCCGGTGCAGGTCTCTACTTTGAACCCAGACTCCTGTGTTTGGTGGCGAGTTTAGCTTTCCCCTTGATGTCTCAAGAGCATCTCAAGCATAGCGAGTCCAGTCCAGAACTCTTGATTCGTCTCGTTCTACCGTCATTCCCTCTGCAACAGTAGGAGATTAATATCACAGAAGTAAGTTCTAGGACACATTCATTTGGGCCATCAGAACTAGGGAGGGGACTTCCAAGCAGTGTTTGGAGGGCCAGAAGTCAGGCAGACTGTTCAAAACTCAGGTCCACTGAGACGCTGGTGCTCAGGTTAACCTAGGACCATCATCCAGGGGAGCTGAAGGGATTGTGTGGTGTTGGAGACTGAACACAGGGTCTCACACAGTCATTGTGTGCTTCAGCCCCATGGGCTGTCTCCCCAGCCACAATCTCCCCCCGGGGAAATGGGTGGTATTTGGATAACATATGTACTCAGGAGCTGGTCAAGTGACCCCTAGTAGTATTGCGGGTCACCATATGTGGCGCCTGGGATTTGAACCAAAATGGCCGAATGCAAAGGAAGTGCCTTGACCCCATCCTATCTGTCTCCATCACATTCTTGCCTACTCCGACTCTCTGACGAGACGCTCTAGGATTGTGCAGTTGTCAGTGTCCATTCTCAGTGACCTCTGTTTCTCCTCTACTAAAATCTTCAGTCAATGTCATTTTCCCTTCAACTGACTCACAGACTCTGAAGTGATCTCCCAGTTTCCATTCTGGCTCCCAGGCCACCTGTGATCGTCTCATTTGTAAAGCAAATGTCTCGAACATTCCTCAGAGGATTCTCTTTGCCCATTAAGATACAGTTCCTTTTCTTTGAGGCTCAATAGTAGTTGGGCCACACCTGGTGGTGCTGTTTTACTCCTGGCTCTGCACTCAGGAATCACTCCTGGTGGTGATCAGAGAACCATATGGGATTCCAGGGATTTAACTCAGGTTGGCCATGTGCAAAGCAAATGTCCTCCCTGCTATATTATGCCAACTTTTCACAAGGGTCTCTATCAGCTTCTGAAATCCCATTTTCAATTTGTCTTCAAGAGTGGCCTTACCACTTTCCAGAGGCTCAGACGAGCTTCACCCATGAGGAAACTGCAGAAAAACCCAAATATGCAGGATCCCTGACTGAAATCTCCAAGCTTGCTCAGAGCAGGACTGGGTCTCCTACCCCCAGCTCCCCAGTTTTTCAGTAGCTCGGCAGTCAAACTGCCCCTGGTGCCATATAATCTCATCAATGGCCAAGATCCAGAGACTCAGAAATAAAGCTCTTGGAAGAGAGCAACATAGGCTTTACCCATGAGTATTATATCTCTATTATCTGCTCTATTGTCATATTCTAAATTTCAGAATTGCTAGAGCTTGTGGCCACCTTTGCAACCACATGACCTCTCATATTCTAGCCCACTGATGTACCAAAAGTAGCACACATTTGTTTGGGTATAACATACATGTTTCTCTTACACAAGGGCTAATTGGCTCCAGGATGAAATACTATCATCTACAACACTTTCTTCTTATGGTGGTAGGTAGGTGAAATGATGGTGGGGTTGGTGTTTGAATATTAAATGTAATAAATTATTGTGAACAACTTTATAAAAAATAAAATAAAATTTTAAAAAATTAACCCCAGCTGGAACTGTAAAGGGGGGAAAAAAGAGTCACCTTAACTTCATTTTAGTCTAAGGACATTGGGTAAGAGAAATGAAGTCTCCTGATTAAATAGTCTCACTAAATAGTCCTCATTTGTGGGGAGTCCGGTCTTGTGGGGGTCCCTTCTCATCATCCCCCTTTAGAACACCATCTACCGAGCCTGCAGTGCTAGAGACGTGCCACTGAAAGTGGAGGAGAAGACCACTTTCTTCTACATCTTTCTCTACTGAAAAAAATAACTGGGAGTTAAAACCCCTTTTCCTGGTGGGGAGGGCCGGGCATTCACTTTTTGGAAACAGAGTGCATGCTTTAGACTCTCCACTGTCTTCACGCTCCCCAGGGCCCCCCGACGTACCTGTTGGCTAAGTTAACATTCCACATGAAGGGCTGGAGTGATAGAACAGCAGGTAGGGCATTTGCCTTGCACGTGACAGACCCGGGTTCGATTCCAAGCATCCCATATGGTCCCCCAAGCACCACCAGTAGTAATTCCTGAGTGCAGAGCCAGGAGTAACCCCTGAGCATCGCTGGATGTGACCCAAAAAGCAAAAAAAAAAAAAAAAAGAACCGTTCCACATGGAACACACAAGTTCCTCAGAGTTCCCAGGACAGGTGATGAGACACAGTCACAGGGCTTCTCGTGTTTGCAGCATATGCTAGTGTCTTTTGTCAGGTTCTCTTGAAGACACCTCAGCTGTTTTTCTTAGTTTTCAAAGCCCAAATAGTCGACATCAGTAAAGCATCAGTTTCTTCTCTCTTGAAGTTAACAGTTTTCAGTTCCTTCTGTGCCTGTTGCTGTTGACTAAGGTTGCAGTCCTGAATGAGGAACATCTTTGTGTTTTGCTGGATACTGTCTGGGAGGAAAGCTCTTCCTTTGCTTAGCTGAGCAAAGATCTGGTCCCACTGGCTCTCATCAGGGCTGGTCATCTGAGGGACCAGATATCAGGCTCAGATAGGGCTTTCTTAGTCATGACTGTAGCTTGGAAAATGTCAACCACAAGTCCTAGAGAACATTTTTGCCTGCATATTCCCAAGAGACAGTTTAAAGAGGACAAGAATCAGGAAGTCCATGATTTCCAGGACATGCAAGTGAGCTCCAAGGTGGCCGGTAAGTTCCTTGGCGGGCTAGTCTGAGTATCTGAAGAAAGACTTCAGAATAAGGGTTTAGTCTGCATGTTCTTTTCCTTGTGTAGCCTTTTGGGGAAAATGACAAGCTAAGAATAATATTCTTTCCATTCTCAATAGCCCAGAGGAGATCTTTAGTTTTAACTGAATCAGCTCTGAATTCCCTTTGAGTCAGTTTTATGCCCTCTTAAGATTCTGTGAATGAGGCCTGGGAATGGAACAGTTTAGTTGGAGAAAGGGCACATCATTCTTATTGCTATTTTAAAATCGTTTTTAGCATTTTAAAAATATTTTACATGTTTCTTTATATCCAAAGGATATAACAATGTAACAATGATGGGTCTCATTCTCCTAAAGAGCCTTGAATATAGCACTTTCTTAAAAATCTCAGAGCTAGGATGAAGGAGACGTTACTGGGGCCTGCTCGAGGCAATCGACGAATAACAGGATGCTCATGATTCGTGATTCATGATTTATATCCACGGGAATTAAGAGAAAAGACATGAAATTCGAAGAATTGATTCACTTTGGATCTTCCTCTGCCAATTTAACAAAGGAAAGGAATTTGGGCTTTTAAGTGAAGCAAATAAATTGTGAGGTATTGATCAAGGAAATACATGGGGAGGAGGGGTCCCAGGAGTTAGAAATCGGTTTAGAGAAGTAACTCGGGGATTAGGCTTGCACAGTATCAACCCCGGTTCAATCCCCATGCATCATCAGAAGTGATCCCTGAGTGCAGAGTCAGGGGTAAGCCCTGAGAACCACCAGGTATGGTCCAAGCACCAAAAATAAACTAATTAAAACTAAAATAAAATAGTTTGTGGTCTATTGATGCAAACACATCCCCGCATGCATGCAAGAACTCTGAGGATGAGAGAGAGAAAGAGGGAATGTGTCTGTCACAGAGGCAGGGGGTGGGAAGGGATGGAGGTGGCAGAAGTGACACTGGGAACATTGGTGGTGGAGGATGGACACTGGTGGAGGGATGGGCACTCGAACACTGTTTGATTGACATGTAAGCATGAAAGTAAGATTGTAACTGTATCTCACGATCATTCATTAAATTAAAAATAAATAAAAATTATAATGCGGCCGGTCCGGGTTCGATTCCTCCGTCCCTCTCGGAGAGTCTGGCAACCTACCGGGAGCATTCCGCCTGCACATCAGAGCTTGGCAAGCTACCCGTGGCGAGTTTGATATGCCAAAAACAGTAACAACAAGTCTCACAGTAGAGATGTTACTGGTGCCCACTCGAGCAAATCGATGAACAATGGGAGCACAGTGCTACAGTGCTACATTGCTATAAATAAATAGATAACTCTGAGGATGAGTGCCCTGCTCTCTCTGGAGAAGGGGAGATCCATGCCCTACCCTTAGTCCTCGGAGGGCAGCTAAGAGGAGTCTTCCTGCATTGACCCATACCTCAAGAACAAAACCGTCTTTCTGCTCAGCTGGTATCATTGGGCGTGGAACCTTCTCATCCCTTTCAACATAAAAAGGACCTTCTTGATCATTAAATCAGATGGCTGGCTAAAAATTTATGCTGTCACCCATATTTCTCACATATCCTGCAGTAAATACAAGTTCACAGAGGCGAGAAGTAGAAGCCTTGGCAGAAAATGGGCTGGAAGGAGGGGCAAGCGTCTTGTACCCTTAGGCCCTGTGTTGTGGAGTTGAGCTGCTTTCTCTGCAGAGTCATCCAATCTCCTTTTCCTTTTTCATCCCATCAGGCATTTACGTGGGCCTCACCACTTCCGGATTTTGGAATTCTCAAGAGACCAAATGGTATAATCTGACAGATGCCATCTATATTGGATATGGTAAATCCTCTGACCATGCCTTTCTCTTCATCGATACTTTAGCAATGTTGCTTAAATGTCTTTGCTTTGCTGTCAAGATCCTCTTCTCTTTCTTTTTTTTTCTTAAATTTTTATTAGTGAAACACCATGAGGTACAGTTGTAGACTTACAAATTTTTGTACTTGAGTTTCAGTTATACAATGATCAAATATCCATCCCTCCACCAGTGCCCATTCTCCACCACCACCAGTCCCAGTGTCCCTCCCACCCCCCTTATCCCCATCCCACCCTACCTCTGTGTCAGGGCATTCCCTTTAGTTATCTCTCTCCTTTTGAGTGCTGTGGTTTGCAAAAGAGACATTGAGTGGCAATTTTGTTCGGTCTATAATCTACTCTCACCACCCATTTTCCATTCTGAGAGGAACCTCCCAAGACCCTTTATTTGGTGCTCCCTTCTCTATCTGAGCTGCCCTTTCCCCTAGAATGCCCGGCTGGCCTCTAAGCCATGGAGTAATCCTCCTGGTACTTATCTCGGCTATTCTTGGATGTTAGTCTCCTATTTTGTTACTTTATGTTCCCCAGATGAATGCAATCTTTCTATGTCTATCCCTCTCTTTCTGACTCATTTCGCTTAGCTTGATACCTTCCATGTAGTACCACTTGTATGTAAATTTCATGACTTCATCCCTTCTGACAGCTACATAGTATTCCATTGTGTAGATGTACCAAAGCTTCTTTAACCAGTCGTCTGTTCTCGGGCATTCAGGCTTTTTCCAGATTCTGGCTATTGTAAACAGTGCTGCAATGAACAGACAACTGCAGATGTCATTTCGACTATACTTTTTTGCCTCTCCGGGGTATTTTCCCAGGAGTGGAATTGCTGGGTCAAATGGGAACTCAATTTCCAATTTTTGGAGAATTGTCCACACTGCTTTCCAAAAGGGCTGAACCAGTTGGCATTCCCACCAGCAGTGAAGGAGGGTCCCTTTCTCACCACATCCGTGCCAGCACTGGTTGCTTTTGTTCTTTTGAATATGGGCCAGTCTCTGTGGTGTGAGATGATATCTCATTGTTGTTTTGATCTGCATCTCCCTGATAATTAATGATGTAGAGCATTTTCTCATGTGTCTTTTAGCCATTCGGATTTCATCTTTGGATCCTCTTCTCTTTCTCTGTCACCATTGGGGCAATTTCTCTCCGCAGAGCACGAGCATCTGACACTGGTCGACATGGTTTTGACAAATATGCACTTAATTCTCCTCGCTTCTACTGGTCTTTTTGTAACTAATCTTTATCAACCAATGTACCCATGGTTAAAGGTACGTGATTTTCTTTAACTAGTTAGCCTGAAATAGTTCTAGTGACATAAAGTAAAACTATTGGATATAGTGTAAAACTATTGGATATAGTTTGGTGTAAGATAGATCACATCAAACTCTTGAGATCAAATGCTTCTTTCTTGTATGGAAAGTAAAACAGGGGCTGGAGAAATATTACAGCAAGTAGAGCTCTTACTTTGTATGCAGTTGATCCTGGTTTGATCCCCAGCACTGCAGAAGGTCCCCCAAGAACCACTAGAAACCCCACTAGCATTGCTATCTCAGCACATAGCCAGGAATAACCCCTCAGCCAGGCACGACTTCAACTCAACCTAAAAGAAAAAAGAAAAGAAAACTGCTTGATCATTTTTCCTTTGCTTTCTAGTATGGAATGTATTATTTGGAAACGGTGCTAGTTTTATTGCCATATAAATTTATAGTATGTTTTAAATACATACCTGTAAAAATACTTTGTGTGTGTATATGAATGTATATTTATCTATAGTTGTATCTTTCCAAAAACACTCATGAATTTACATAAAGCTAAATAGAGGACTACAATGTAATACAGATTAAAATAAAGTTTTGAGGCTTCATTTTTTCCCTTCTGGAGAAACCTGTGTTCTCTCTTGAGTGCTAGCTACATCTTCCCTTCCCTCTCTTTGTTTCCCAAATAACTTCTTTTACTTAAAAAAAAAAGTTAAAATGTAAGTTTTGGGGTTAGAAGAAAGGAATTCTGTTTTGGTGAGGATGTACAGTACGTATGTTCACAAAAGTCTCCCAGATTCACCACAACAGAATTGAGAGTACAAACAAATACTTAGAAACCATGCAGGAAAAGATCAGGGGAAACACTCAAAGAAAGGTTTATTTGTTGAGGAGCAGTTATTTCTTATAATGTTCCTTCCTTTATCTGCAGTTTGCTTTTCTGAGTACAAGGAGATATTTTTGAGCTAGCGACCATATTCACATAACTTTCAGTATGTTCTATCATTGTACTTATTCTCCTTATTTCAGTATTTTCATACATTTTTATTGTGAACTATTATTAATCTGCTGCTGCACCTAATATGCACATTAAACTTTATCCAAGCTATAAATGTTCAGGTCCCCAATAATTGCATGTATTTTTTTTTAAAGTTGAGTACTTTTCATGGTTTCCAGCATCCTCTGGGGGGTGTCTTAGAGTGGACCTCCCCCATACATAATAGGGGACAAAAGCTCATGCAGTAACTAATCTTTATTTCAGTAAATAAAATTCATAGCCTTCCCCCTACTTCATCACTGCAGAGAAAGAGCCTCACACACAAAACCAGCTGTATCTCAGACAGCTAGTAGATCTGATCTTGGATGTGCTTATCACACAATCATGAAACAGAAGCACCAAAATGCAGGACAATGACCTAAGTTCACAGTACAGAGAACTGGGTGTACTATGCAGTTAGAAGCTGATCCAGGGGCCACAACTGACCCTACAGAAGCAACAGATGACACTGGCGACAGTGACAGGCAAAGGTTGTGTCCTCCTAGACTCAGCACATGTCAGGTTTAATGTCTCCCTCTCTCTCTCTCTCTCTCTCTCTCTCTCTGAACACTTCTTTCTTTGGCTGTTGTTTTTTGTAGGTGTATGTAATTTTTGGTTTGGGGGGAACACATGGAGGTGCACAGGACTTATTCCTGGCTCTGCACTCAGGGATTGCTCCTAGCTGTGCTCAGGGGACCATATGGGGTATCAGGGATAAAGCCTGTGTTGGCTGCATGCAAGGCAAGTGCCTTATGCCTTAACTCCCTCACTATCTCTTCTACCTTCTCCACAGTTTTTTTTTCCTGTGTGTATGTGTGTGCAGGTGGTGTGTGTGCGTGTGTGTGTGTGTTCACACATTTCTTAATTCCTCCACTTTAGCCATTACAAGATAACAAGTGTATTTCAAATCCTCTCTGGAATTAACGTATTAAACAAAAACAAATTAATCAAATATGGAAGCAAGGGGGAAAATGAAGGGACAATCTCCAGGATATGGTAGAAATGGCTAGGGGTGGCCTTCATGTTTCACGGGCCTTAATCCTTGGATCCTCAAAGCAGTATGTAGTTGAGCATAGAGGAGGAGAATTTGTAATAGTCCTTGGTAGACCCCTTGTCAGTCAGAACGAGGGGAGAAATTCAGGACTCCAGACCCTTGCTGAGACCACCAGCACAGACAGGTCAGATGTCCGTTGACAAGAATGTCATCATATGAATTGTTATCTCCAAAGTTGCTTTTCCAATCTCAGCTAATCACCAAGTTCCAAGTGTGTTTTTATGTCCAATCAGTATATTAGTAGTAGTGATCATATGCCCAGCCCCAAACTGTTATGTCAACATCAATGTTCCCTCTACTGATAATGGCCTGCCTGCCACCGTGCTCTAGAAATCAGGGTCTGGTCAACATTACAGAGATGGGGAAGCAGCTCATAAAATGCTCCTTCTGATGGCCTCTTCCTCCAGGCAGCCCCAAGCTTCAACTTCTGAAAATCAAATTTCCTTCCCTTTCATCTCTGCAGTAGTGATTGTTATTTTAGATGACATACATCATTTCCTGTAGTATGACTTACATTATTGTGCCCTCTGCTTTTTTTTTTCTTCACCTTCCAGTTTTCAAGGATAGAATTTTGCGGTTTTAAATCGGTAAGATACTTTAAATTTCCAGGTTTGGTTACAAGTAATGTGGTCCCCAGGTGATTTAAGAGATGAAACACAAGTCAGAACCTAACAGAACTAGTTACTTCTATTATTATTATATTATTTTTCTCTGCCTTGTTTTGGGGTCACACCCAGAAGAGCTTAAGTCTTTCTCCTTGCTCTATGCTCAGGGATCACTCTTGGCTAGACTTAAGGGACCTTATGTGGTGCTGGGGATTGAACCCAGGTCAGCTCACACCAGGCCTTACCCCCTGTGCTATCTCTCAGGCCACTTGCCAGACTGATTGGAGGAAAATCCTCCTAACTCAGAAAGACAGACAAAATATTTTGACACAGTTTGAACCAAGGAAGAGAACGGTCAGCCTAGAATTCCAAACGCACTTGCTCTGCGACTATCAAGAATGAGGGTGGAGAAAAGAAATGCACCCTGATAAGGCACTGCAGGAGCGTGCCAGCCCAGACTCCATGAAGGAGTGGGGTGCGGAGCCAGGCTAGAACTGGAATGTGTGCTCTAGGCTCTTGAGAGGCAGACCCCACTCTGTCTTTTTCCCTCCAGGAACTCCTAAGGCAAGAGAGGCACTTAGTAAATATTTGCTCAAAGCCTGGAAATGGTGTACAAAAAATTTACAGTTACCCATTTTGTGTATAGATGTGGGATGGAATGGAAAGTCTAGACGATAAAACGAGGAATGATCAGCATTCCTGTGGACAATCAGCAGTTTAAGTTCCTTGCTTGGCAGTAGAACTGAAATTCTAAAACTTAGAATTTTTTAGAGAACTGTCAAGTGGATAGTCAACTTGTATGTTCAAGTTAAATGGTAATTACTCAAACAAAGAAATATATCATCTTTAACGTTCTAAACAACCAGAAGGAGAATAGGAATCAAAGAATAAGTCATCGGTTTTCCCAAAGAATTAGAAAGAAAGAAGAAAAACAGAAAGGATTTTTTTTCAACTGGGAAACCAATAACAGTATGGTAGAAGCCAGGCTAGCTAGATGGGCATTTGTGATTCGTGTCAAGAATGATGGACGTCTCCAGAGAAACTAGTCATCTGCCACTTAGAAGAGATAAAGCCACAACACTGGTGGAGGGAAGTGGCTCTCTGGTGATGGGTTTGTTCTTGGAATAATGGATGCAAAGAAGTGTGACTAATAGCATTGTAAACCTCAGTGTTTAAATAAAAATGGTTTAAATTAGAGAGAGAGAGAGAGAGAGAGAGAGAACCACAAGAACTACACACACCAGACTCTCAAATACAGGGATGAGAATTGTCCCCTGATCTTTGCAGGTGCTGAATACCAGCAGAAGCCCAGCTTTAAGGAATCCCCCTGTACAAAGAGATCTTGCGTCCTCTGGTTTATCTGAAAAGGAAGTATATGGCAATGCGAAGGGCAGAAGGTGAGGGTCCCGGAGAGAGCTTGATCCATGGGGTCCCTGAAGGGACCTCCTAGTGATGGCCTCTGCGTCTTGCAAATGTGACCAGTGGAAGGCCATTTCCCTGGGTGCCCAAGGAACAGCGGGCCACTATCCCTCCAGCATTGCCACACTAGGAGGTGCTCCCCACCAGACCCAAGTTCTCCAAAATGCACTTAATCTGTTCACATCAGAACATAGGCCAGAGATGCTAATAGAGAAGATCACGATTTCTGACCCTGAGTTAGAGCGCTGGATCAATATTTTCCTATTCTGCAGCCACCCTTCTGATGCAGAGACCTTAGAAGGAACAGACATCAGCATTTATAAGGAGTTTCAAGTGCAGCGTCTTTATTTAGAAAACAAAACTTTCTAGGCCCTGATATCCCAAATTGTAATTTAAAATGAAGTAAATTGGAGGGAAGCAGAAGAACAGCATGAAAGATCCAAAGGAAGAAAGTTCTTTTTGGCTTTCTAGGGAAACAAAACATCATGAAGGCCAAGATGAGCATTTGCAAAGATGTCAGAGGGTTGAGGGTGAGTGACAGAACTCTGGAAAGGAATGGAAAAAATGGGGGGAGGACAGAAGAAAGACCAGAGCAATAATACAGCAGGAAGGGCGCTTTCTGTACACGTGGCCAACCCAGGTTCCATCCCAGGCATCCCATATGGTCCCCCGAGCACCGCCAGGAGAAGTCCTGAGTGCAGAACTTTGAGCATCACTGGGTGTGACATCCCAAAAAAATGATGGGTTGACAGAGAAGAAGCATCAATAAACTGGAAGAAAATTGCAGATAGTAAGAAGATCAAGGACTGTATTTTGATAAAGTCAAGATACCTCTCCAATTTGGGGGAAGACTGAAAAATAGACATTGGCACATCCTAATGGTTCTGAAATTGAAGATAAAATGGGAAATAATAGCAAGTTTGTAAAACAAAACCAACAACAACGGGGGCTGGGACATTAAGGCACTTGCTTTGCATGTGCCCTGCCCAGGTTCAATACCCAGGACCACATGGTCCCCCAAGTACTACAGGGTGCAGGAGATCCCCAGCATTGCCTAGGGTGGGCCCAGGTAAGCCCTGACATTGCAAGACCAGAGCTGTACCCCTTGCACTGCAATCCATGGACCCTTGCATTGACCCCTGGCCTGGTTGACAGAATCGCTGGTGGGGCCCCCCGGTCCTTCTGCTCAGGAGGTACCTCACAAAAGTGGAAATAAAGGCAACCACCGTCACAATCGATTTGAGAACATTTCAATGTTTTTTAGGTCCAGAAAGCACAAGTGGTAAGGCGCTTGCCATGCATGTGGCCACTTTGACCCTGGGTTTGATCCTTAACACCACATGTGGTCCTCCAAGCACCACCAGTGGTCACTCCTGGCCACAGAACCAGGAATAGTCTAGAGTGAGACAAGGCTATGTGAGACCAATAAAAGAGAAGGAAGGAAGGAAGGAAGGAAGGAAGGAAGGAAGGAAGGAAGGACCCAAATAAGTAAATAAGTGTTTTTTAAAGCACAGATAAAACTTACATTTTTTTTTTATATTTTAAAACTCTATTTCTGCAAAGCCAATCAACAAGTGGGGGGGGGGCTGGGGAAGGGAGGGGGAATCAAGTGGAGGGGGGAGGGAGTGTAAAAGTTATTCTTGCGTATTTGAGAACAGCAAACACTTAGTTTGAGAAAATGAAGACTTAAAATACTCGAAAAAATATGGAACGCTTCACGAATTTGCGTGTCATCCTTGCGCAGGGGCCATGCTAATCTTCTCTGTATCGTTCCAATTTGAGCATATGTGCTGCTGAAGCAAGCACTCAAACTTACTTTAATATTAGTCTCTAAAAACAATGTAAGAAGGCTTTCCTGACGTCTCAATCAACAATAATTTGAAGCTCAGAATTTTCCTACAGCAGACTTGTGACCTACCGCACTAAGGACATGGGTTTAACCACTTCCCGTAGCTTCCAACCCACTGTTCATGGAGTGAGCTACTATTTTTATTAACCCAGACCATGGCGTGTGGTAATTGTCCCTGGTTTGTCCTTACACTTTCCTTGGTGGTGGTGGTGGGTGAATATCCTGGGTTTTGATGCTTGCATATGTCCCACCAGGCTCACATACTTGAGTTGTGGGACTCACATATGCCTGCTGGAAGTGAGGCAGTGGACACACACTTTGTTTTGTTGTGGCACCAAGGATCCCAAACATCAGAGCCACTGGGCACACAGAGCCATGCTGGAAACTGAACTTACAGCCTCACAGTTGAAAGATGCAAGAAAAGAGTTCTACCTCTCAGCTACCCCAGGACCCCCGAAACATCATCTTTTTAGTCCCTTTCTGTGTGTTATTCCAAAAACATATTCTAATTCTGGTTCTTTCTCCACACACTTTTCTTTTCACTCATATTTTCCCTATTTTTCTCACATTCTTGAACAATCACAACTTTTAAAATAGTTTTTCTTCTGCATCATGAAGTCCTTAGATTGCAGAATGATAATTTCATTTATTTACACAGGCTGACTTTATCAAAGGGAAATTGTGGTATACTGAAAGATGTCTGGCTAACAGAGAGAAGTTTGAAGGTAAATTTTTTAAAGACATTAACTGTCACTGTCACTGTCCTCCCGTTGTTCATCGATTTGCTCGAGCAGGCCCAGTAACATTGTGAGACTTGTTATGTATTTGGCATATTAAATACGTCACGGGTAGCTTGCCAGGCTTTGCCCTGCGGGTGAGATACTCTCGGTAGCTTGCTGGGCTCTCCGAGAGGGGCGGAGGAATCAAACCTGGTTCAGCCGTGTGCAAGTTGAATTCCCTACCACTGTGCTATTGCTCCCTGGCTTATAAATGTACCTGGTCAGAGCTCTAATGGATATACAGTGAGGTTTGATGTGTTTCCTCGTCTAAGGCAGTACAGTTTGTGAATCAAGGAGTAATGTTGACTTTTATGTCTGGGATATTTTGTAAGACTTTCTTTCGCTGCCATAGATGGTAATTCCTGTGATGCACGTGGATAAAGTAAATCAGAAACCTTTTGGAAGGGATTTATCAATGGTTCTAAATGCCATTAAGAACATCCATGATTCATGAAGGATCAAAATGTCACCATGACGAGTTTTGAAGAGGTTGATTTTAAATCAGCTCTCATGAATGGCTTTGTGGGGTTCAAGATTTCAGTGGCCGGAGATGTAACTGAATTGTCACAATCTCATGATTAAAACTGAACAGATGAAGAACTGCATCTTATGAAAATGTGGTTTTTTGGGGGGAGTTGGGTATAGATAGCCCAGAGAGCTAGTGTGCATGCTTTCATGCATGAGATCAATATTTGATCCCTGGCACGGTCCTTGGAATACTATTAGGAATCACCCTTAAAAAACTGCCAGGAATAACCCTCTTAGTTCTACCAGGTGTGGTTTTTCAAAATAAGGTGGTTTGGGACTGGAGTGATGGACATTAACAGGCTTTTTTAAAAAAAGAACTTAAAGGAACCAAATTTAAGGATAGATTCATTTTGTATAGGAAAGAGACTAAGAGGAGGCTGGAGCAATAGCACAATGGGTAGAGCATTTCCCTTGCATGCGGCCAACCCAGGTTCAATTCCCAAGATCCCATATGGCCCCCTGAGCTTCACCAGGAGTAATTCCTGAGTGCAGAGCCAGGAGTAACCAACCCCTATGCATCACAGGGTGTAACCCAAAAGGTAAAAAAAGAAGAAAAAAAATAAAAGATGGTTAAAGAAACTTTGGTACATTTACACAATGGAGTACTATGTAGCTGTTAGAAAAGATGAACTCATGAAATTTACAAACAAGTGGTATTACATGGAAAGTATCACGTTAAATGAAATGAATCAGAAAGATAGGGATAGACATAGAAAGATTGCATTCATCTGGGGAACATAAAGTAACAAAATAGGAGACTAACACCCAAAAATGGCCGAGATTAGTACTAGGAATTTTGCTCCATGGTTTGGAGGCCAGCCACACATGCTAAGGGAAAAGGCAGCTCAGATAGAGAAGGGAGCACCAAATAAAGGGTGTTGGGAGGATCATCCCAGGATGGGAGATGCATGCTGAAAGTAGACTTGGCCATTCTTGGGTGTTAGTCTCCTACTTTGTTACTTTATGTTCCCCAGATAAATTGATTTTTCTACCAGACTGAGTGCAGTGTTGGCCCAGAGTGCTGGGGACTTGGAGTGACAAGAGAGTTGGAGAGAGGAGAGAGAGTTCAGGATGGCAAGATGGACTGCAGAGAGACTAGCAAGGGGGACAGAGGGAGAAGGATGTAGAAGAAAACAGGAGCAGGAACGTGGAGAGAAAGAGCCCAATTCTGCAAGATGGAGCATGGATAGATGGGCAGAAGAGATAGGAAGAGACAGGAATAAGGAGCAGTGTGAGACTAGAATGGGAGGCTCAGAGAGACTGGGGCAGGCACGTGGGGAGAATAGAACAAATGGCATCTGATCAACCAACCGACTTGGCCCTCATTTCGTCCACCATCTGCCCCATGACTCAGGCCTTCCCAGCTGGGCGAGCGACCCGGGGGACCCTCCAAAACCCAGGCGGTGAGGGGCAGAGGCGTCGGGCCTCTCCTTGGCCACCCCTGGAGATTATACAAACCAGCTCTTTGGCCAAGCATCACTGGGAGAAATTCCCGGGTCTCATGAGCACTCTTGGTGGATGGGGTCCCCCTATAATAAAAAACAAAGAGGAGAGGCTGGAGCAATAGCACAGCGGGTAGGGCGTTTGCCTTGCACGCGGCCAACCCGGGTTCGATTCCTGGCATCCCATATGGTCCCCCGAGCACCGCCAGGAGTAATTCCTGAGTGCAGAGCCAGGAGTGACCCCTGTGCAATGCCAGGTATGACCCAAAAACCGATAGATAAATAAATAAATAAATAAATAAATAAAGGTAAAGGTAAGGTAAAGGTAAAGGCCCTCCCGTTGATCGTCGATTTGCTCAAGCGGGCCCAGTAACGTCTCCATTGGAGACTTTGTTGTTACTGTGTTTGGCATATCGAATACGTCACGGGGAGTTTGCCAGGCTCTGCTGTGCGGGCGAGATACTCTCGGTAGCTTGCCGGGCTCTCCGAGAGGGGCAGAGGAATCGAACTCGGGTCGGCCATGTTGGCCGCTTGTAAGGTGAACGCCCTACCGCTGTGCTATCGCTCCAGCCCCTTTTAATATTTTTTTACTGTGTTTGGCATATCGAATACTTCACGGGGAGCTTGCCAGGCTCTGCTGTGCGGGCGAGATACTCTCGGTAGCTTGCCGGGCTCTCCGAGAGGGGCGGAGGAATCGAACTCGGGTCGGCCATGTTGGCTGCGTGCAAGGCGAACGCCCTACCACTGTGCTATCGCTCCAGCCTCTCCTCTTTGTTTTTTATTATAAATAAAGAGGAAAAATTTTTATTTACATTTGAGACCCTCTGCATGCCTGTTATAGGTACAAGAACGTTGCTTTTGAATAGACGTCATAATACAGTTATAAACTGATGCGAGTCTGTTATTTTTATACTTTTTACAGTGGATTATGTCAGCATCACCTTTGACAGAAACAAGACCCTGAGTGAGGTATGGCATAAATGATGCAGAAAGGTGAGCTATTGCATGGGATATGATTCTATAAACTGGACAATGGCAGATCATGTTCTGACAGGCCGAATCATTGTTCACAACCCCCAGCCTCCACCCCCAGTGCTTCTTCTTGGGGTAGCTGGCAATGATGTTCAAACTGGATCTACAGTGTGGGTTTGGTGAACACACTCTGGGCCAGAAGGGGAACCTTTATGGTGTTTTCTGGATTCCTGGCATTGGGAGTGCATCACAAATATTGTAGCACTGTAGCACTGTCCTCCCCTTGTTCATCGATTTGTTCGAGCAGGCACCAGCAACATCTCTATTGTGAGACTTGTTACTTTTTTTGGCATATCAAATACGCCACGGGGAGCTTGCCAGGCTCTGCTGAGCAGGCAGGATACTCTCAGTAGCTTGCCGGGCTCTCCCATAGGGACGGAGGAATCGAACCTGGGTCGGCCATGTGCAAGTCAAACACCCTATCCACTGTGCACAGATATTAATTACAGAAAACTTTTCCATGGTCAGTCAGGACCACCCCACACTCACCTTTAGTTTATCTGCCTAAGGACGCAAATGAGAGCTTCTCTTATTGATGTTGGTGGACCCCACGGGTGACTTATGTGAAGTAGGGAAGAGAAAGACAGTCACTTTCTCCCCACCCGCCTCTGCCACCCGGGACCCAGGGTTACTGGGTTCTTGTCTCGCCTTGCAGAAAGGAATTTCAGGAGTAGACAAGCAGTGAAATTACACAGTTTTTATTTTGAAGGTTTTGAAGGGAAGGAGGGAGAGAAAGTGAGACAGAGTAGAAAGTAACCTACTCAAAAGAGAACCCTGGCTTCTCCAAGGGTGGAGAGAGCCCCTACACACATCCCAGCGTTAGACATGAAAACAGGAAAGTCCACATCTCAAGAGGGGAGATGTGGGCGACACATGTGTTCAGGAAGCATTTGCTCATGCTTCCTTTGTTCAAGGTGGCCTTTATAGGGTTTCTCCAACCTACCCCCATGTGGGGCTTCTACCTAGGTAAAAGTCCGTTGCTAGGGAGGTTACCAAGGGGGTTGGGAGTGGTGATGGTCTTCTTTGAAATTCCTTTCCTGACTTTTGTTTCTGCAGGAGCTTCTGTTGGTCAGGTGTCAAAGAAACAGTTTTGGAGTTTCTGGTTAACCTCTCTCTGATCCTTAATTGGTCTCTATTTCTTCTGCTGTCATCCCTGTAAATGTCTCCATGAGGTCAGGGCTACTGCTTCCCAGGAGATTTACTGCCATTGCCTTGGGAAGGGGCCTTCCCTATCTGCCGGCCTACATCATTATGAGAGCAGCATTCATTTTGCCTTTCTCTTTTCCACAGTCAAGTTCTTGTTTCTATAGTAGTGCACCATTTCGCAAATGGTTGCCCTGCTTACATCAACTGACAACGAGGCAGAGAGTTTTAAGCCCCAAAGTCATAAGCTTTCTTGTGGACGAAGAGAACAGATGTGGGATCTATCTTCTACATAAAGTGGTGAGCACACAGTTCCCGGGGATGGTTCTGGACTCTGAGTAGCTACCATATCAATCTCAAGTTCTTTTCTCTGGGAGTCAGCGTTGATAACATTGGCTAGAGGGGACTGTTTCCTGGAAGACCTGATTTGTTTTGCCTCTGCCCGCTCATTGAGTTTGATGGCTATTAAAAATACAATGTTATTTGCCTAGCCATGATTCTTCCTTGCTTCCCGCCCCCCCGCCCCCACCGGATGAATGCAACCTGAGTTTGGTCTAGATCAAGGTAAGAAATATTTGTGGCTGATGGCAACTGTATATTTGCAGAAGCTTGTACTTCTAGTCACATAGGGAAAAGCTTTTACCACCCCACCCCAGCCCCTGGGTTCAACTCTATCGACTGTCCGATGCACTCGGTAAAAACTGACCTTTGCTCCATGAAACAGGGAGTTGGAATAATTAAAAATGAAATGAAATTTCCACAGTTCTCTATTTCCTGTCCCAACGCTTCTTAACCCTTACTGTGACTTAGAATTATTCTGAGTCATGTAGGCATAGGGGATCAAGGGAGCAAACCCTCAGTCCTCTCCTCATGACGTTAGGGGAGGTGGGGGGATATTCTTTCCTAAACCCTCTTACATTCAGTATCTGGAGTCCTACAAACTAAGCTGGCAAAGGACAGATTTGCAAGATAAAAGCAGTTTGTTTACGTGTGAGTCTCACCCACAGGAGAATATCAGTCATGGGTGAAAAGTGGAGGGTAGAATGTGGACCTTAGATACCGTCTTAATAGGTTAAGGAGGTGGAGAAAGTACTTGGGGAAGACAAGTGACCTTCTGAAAGAGAAATGTGTTTTCAGGACAAACAGAAGATAGAAAAGGTTTGTGATAGTGTTTGTTTATACAGCTATGAATGCTTTTTTTGCTCTTCAAAAGTCTTTCCGCTCCCCAGGAGGAGGGATTTGGGATTGGTTTTGTTTGAGTTCTCCCTTCTGGAAGGAGATCCACCCCAAAGAAATATTTGTGGCTGATGGCAACTGTATATTTGCAGAAACTTGTGCTTCTAGTCACGTAGGAAAAAGCTTTTTACCACCCCACCCCAGCCCCTGGGTTCAACTCTATTGACTGTCCGATGCACTCGGTAAAAATTGACCTTTGCTCCATAATGGTGTATTTTGGGATACATATGATGATCCTCTTAAAGATCATGATCCAGTGAAATTAGACTGTGTCCCAGGCATTCACGTTCTTTCAAAAGTGTTCTGGTACTAAGAGAGGAAAGGAGGTAAGGCACTTCCTTACATGTGGCCAGTTTTGTTCGATTCTAGCACTCCATGTGATCCGCAAAGCACTGCAAGGGGCCGCTGCTGGGCACAGAGCCAAGAGTAGCCCCTGAGCACTGCAGGTGTCACTAAACTGCTTCCCACTAAAACACAATTTGGTGCCATAATTAAGAGCACTGGAATCTGCCAAATTCAATGACAATTCTATCATACCTCTCCCACACCAATTACTATAGAAATTTTGAACAAATTATGTCATTTCCTTGTCAGCCTCTATTGCAGGGACATGTGACTGTGAAGAGGAAGTGGGGGGCAGGGGCCAGAGTCCAGAGATATTGATGATTGTTTAACTCTTCCAATTCTGGGCGACATTTATGGGCATGTCCCTGTCTTCATCCAAAAGTCAAGTGACAGGCACGTGGGGACATGGACTAGCAAGAAAAGCCACAGGGGGGTGGGGGCGGGGAGAAATGCTTAGCACGTCTTCCTTTATTTCTAGAAACAAACTTCTGCCACGGTGAACACCTTCAAATACAACAGTCTAAGTATAACAACTAAATTTCCGACCTTCATTTTCCCTCGATCGTTCTCGAAGCCCCTAGGGATGGTATTTCATCCACGAAGCCACTTTCTGTACGCTTACGGCAATCAGGTATGTACATGTGACCTCCCCCACCACAGTTCAGGCTTGTACGCTGAGTGGCTGCATGTCAGGTAAGAAAGAGATTCACTGATGAGCAAAAACTCATCAGTGATGGAGACTGATGAAGAGAGAATGAGAGGAGAAGATGACTGAGGCAGTGAACATCTGCTAAACTTTTTTCCATTTATGATTGAAAAGAAACGAGATGAAGTGCCAGGGTGATAGTACAGAGGGTAGGACGTTTACGTTGCATGTGGTCAACCTGGGTTTGATCTGGCATCCCATACGGTCTCCCAAGTCTGCCAGGAGTGACCCACTCCTGGAGGGTTCAGGTGGCCATATGGATTGTCCAGGATGGAACCCAGATTTGTCACATTCAAGGCAAGCACCTTACCAGCTGCACTATCTCTCCAGACCAAAACCTTCGAAAAATTCTTTTTGTTTTGTTTAGTTTGTTTTGTTTTGGGGCCACATCCAACAGTGCTCCAGGTTACTTCTGGCTCTTCATGCAATTACTCCTGGTGGTATTCAGGGAAGTCTATGAGATGTTGGGGATCCAACCTGGGTCAGCCGCATGCTAGGCAAGTGTCACCGGCTGTGCTATCTCTCCACCACCACCCACCAACCTTCAAACAATTCTTATTGGAAAATGAGGAAGCAGAGAAAATTATTTGCAGTAGAGAAATATATCTGAGGGTTTACAAAGGTTCCCAGGACACATTGATGAAAATATACCAAGGGGTGCTTAATATGAAAATATGAAAAGTTCATACCAAGAGCATACTTAATATAAACTTGCCAGATGCCTAGAACATGAAGTTTTATGTCAGTATAGAAAACACACTCTCCGCTCAGTCCTAACTGCTTCAGACCTTTATATATGAGGGGACACCCGCCTCCCACTGGGGAGACAATGAGAACCATTTTATTCTGCATTCATGCTTTGTGAACCAGGAATCCGCCACCTTCCAGGAAAGAAGCAGAATAGGCAGAGAAGGTAAGGAGTCTGTGGTCTCAGCATGTGTGAGACAGAGACATTGAGAGACAGAGACTAACAGAGACAGACACCAGGGGACTCAGGGGCAGAGATATGCAGAAACAGAGACAAGAGAGAAAGAGAGGGAAAGAAAGAGGTATAAGCCACAAAGATCCCAGGTGCTTTGAGGGAAGACTGGGAGGATGGGGTAATTGGACAGCTTTGTAGGGACCACTGTCTTATTTCTTTTCTATAGATATGGCTTTCAATGGATGGTGGCAACACTTTTGAATTAATCGCTAGCTTTTATTATGAATACATCAAGGAAACTTCTCACAGTTTTTATACTTCAGACATTGTTTTTATTTCCGATCGTGGAAACATTTATAGGACAAAGGCAGGTAAGAATAATACATGGCCTGGTGAGCTATGACCTCCATATAAAAATATATGGGATGAAACCCAACCTGTGTATTCATTGGCTATTCTAACTTATGGGGTTAACAGATTTCTAAAAGTTATCTGATGGTAAAATACTCATAGCGTCAAAAATTGATCCTCTTGTGTTGGAATATTGAATGTAATAAATTACTGTGAACAACTTTATAAAAATAATACATTTTTTCATTGATCCTCTTACCCATTTTGGAGTGTAGAATTGAGTGGTATTAAATACATTCAGAATGTTCTGCAACCATCACCACCACGCATGTCAGTGATTTTTTTCAACTTGTCACTGTCACTGTCATCCCATTGTTCATTGATTTGCTCAACCGGGCACCAGGACCATCTCCATTCATCCCTGTGGCATGGTAGTATAGCCCAATGGCATATTGGGGGCTCTTTCAGGGTCAGGGGAATGAGGACCGTCATTGTTGCTGTTTTTGGCATATCGAATACATCTCAGGGGAGCCAGAAGGGCGGGATACTCTCAGTAGCTTACTGTGCTCTCTGAGAGGGACGGAAGCTTTTGGAGCAGGAAATACTGTGTTGCTTTCCTCCAGAAGCTTTATTTTACAGTCATTTAAAAGTCACTTGACTATAAACGACTTTTCAGCTTACAAATTGAAATTCTGTACTTTTAAATAATTCGTCTCATTCTCCTTCCTGTGTCCCAGCCCATGGCCATCATGCTCCTTTCTGTCTCCCTGACCAATAAAAGTCCATGGTGTATACATACCATCTCCTACCAATCCATCCAAGAGTTGGGTTGCTTCCGTGTTTTCACTATCGTAAACAGCACTGCTGTGAACTTGGATAGGTACTTAAGTCACTGAAATCCCACCTTTAGTTCCTCTGGACACATCCCAATTGCACAACTACAATTGATAGATCCTATAGCAAGTCTAGTTTTAGGTTTGGTGGCTGAAGGAGGGCAAATGTGCCAATCCCTTAGGTGATTCTTAATCAGCCCAGCCAGAAGTTCAGTGCAAGGATACAGTGTTGCTCCTCAGAAACCCCCAGTAGTGCCAGGGACCAGATTGGAACAAGCAACTGCTCTCTCTCTCTCTCTCTCTCTCTCTCTCTCTCTCTCTCTCTCTCTCTCTCTCTCTCTCTCTCTCTCTCTCTCTCTCCCATCCCTAGTTTGAAGTTTTTGAGGAACTGCTGTTCTGTTTTCCACAGTAGGGTATACCACCACAAATAAAGGGTTCAAATTTATGTATCCACATCCTTGCCAAACCCTGTTGTTGTGTGTATGTATGTGTGTGTGTGTCTGTGTGTGTGTTTAACAGTAAACGTACTCACTGTCACTGTCACTGTCCTCCCATTGTTCATCGATTTGCTCGAGCAGGCAGCAGTAACATCTCACAACAAATTGTGAGGCTTGTTGTTACTGTGTTTGGCATAAACATACTCATGAGTATGATATTTGTTTTTACAAGGGCATAAATGTTTAGGGGTACAGCACGTAGGGCGTTTGCCTTGCAGGCGGCCGACCCAAGTTCAATCCCCAGCATCCCATATGTTCCCCAAGCTTTGCCAGGAGTAATTCCTGAGCGCAGAGCCAGAAGTAACCCCTGAGCATAGCCAGGTGTGACCCAAAAAGAAAGAAATAATCAGCCTGCAGAGTCTCCCCTCCATGCCAGGACACAAATGTTTATGTTTTAGAGATATAATGTTAAGGGATATAATACTGCACCCACCAACAAAGTGTGTGGCTCTCCCCCACCACTGTCCACACCTCGTAGTTTTGTTTTGCATTTCACACGCTGACTGACCTTTTGTGTACCTTCCTAGAGAAATGTCCGTTCAATTACTTTAGCAATTTTCTTGTTTTGTTTTGTTTTGGCCACACCTGGTGCTGTTCAGGACTTACTTCTGGCTCTGTGCTCAGGGATCACTCTTGGTGGGCTTGGAGAACCATATGGGGTGTCAGGGATCAAACCCGGGTCATAATCCATGCAAGGTAAATGCCATCTCTGCTGTACTATTGCTCCAGTTTCTGCGTTAGCCATTTTTTAATCACATTGTTTTGTTGTTGAATTTTAAGAGATGCATATATGGGCACTTTTAAAATTCTCAGGACTAGGACGAAGGAGATATTACTGGGGCCTGCTCGAGGCAATCAATGAACAGCAGGATGACAGTGATACAGTGATATACGGGGATATATGTATATGGGTATATATATCAGCATGTTAATCCCCCGTCAGATAAATTATTTTGAACTATATTTTCTCTTATTTTGTGAATTACCTTGACTTTCTCGGTTAATCTAATTACTAAATAAATTTATACTTTTTTTTTTTTAGTTTTTGGGTCACACCCAATGGTGCTCAGGGATCACTCCTGGCAGGGGGGACCATATGGGGTGCCCAGGATAGAGCCTGCTGTACTATCCCTCCAGCCCCTTGTCTCATTCTTCTTGATGCTATGGTATTGTCTTCCTAATTCTCTCTACTGTTAGTAAGTGAACCCAAAACAAATGCACCCCCAAAAGTCACAGCTATAAAATGATGCATAAAAAATGAAAAAAACATTACGTTTTTGTAAGCTTTGACAGCTAAATTTAAAAAAATAATACAAGGCCATGTTGATATTAAAGTAAAATTCAGAATAAGGTGCTTATAAATAGAAGTGCACGGCGCCAGGGGGCCAGTTGGTGGGTGTGACCCCCGCCTACTGGAATTTGGAGGATCTGGGTGGAGGATGCTCGGCCCCAATTCGAGTAGGCTTGGAGATCTCGGCCCAGGAACCCGCGTGACATTGTCCCTCTGCCAGTACCTTCATGTGTGCAGAGAATGGTCTCAGCATGGTGGTGGCTGGTCCCATCAGCGGCCAAGACTCAGAGACTATAAAAACCAGCTCCAGGAAGAAGAACAGTGCAGTCTCCTGCCCCCACGCCTGACTGTCCTTGCCGCCCGGGCCCCTTGGAGGGGAGCGGGTTGAGCTTTCCTCCCCGCCCCGACCAGGGCTCCGGCAGCCAAAGACCTCCAGGACCAGCTCCCTGAACCGCGCCCCCACGCGGCCCCGCCTACTGTCATCTTATTATGACATCTTATTATCTCATTCCTACTTTGGACAAACTGGCAGGCTACCGAATGTAGCCTGCCCACATGGCAGAGTCTGGCAAACTCCCCGTGGCGTACCAAATATGCCAAATATCAAATATGCCAAGTAACAATGATGGGTCTCATTCTCCTAAAGAGCCTTGAATATAATCTCAGGGCTAGGATGAAGGAGACGTTACTGGGGCCTGCTCGAGGCAATCGACGATTAACAGGATGATTTGTGATTTTGTGTGAAATAGAAGTGCATCTCATTTAATTAGGCGATTAAATATCATATATTCTATAGTAAATAAAAGGAAAAATTATTATAGCTAAAATCTATGACCCAAAAATCCAACACGGGCATTTGCCTTACAAGCAGCCAACATGGCCGACCCGAGTTCGATTCCTCCGCCCCCCTCGGAGAGCCCGGCAAGCTACTGAGAGTATCTCGTCCGCACGGCAGAGCCTGGCAAGCTCCCCGTGACGTATTCGATATGCCAAACACAGTAACAACAAGTCTCACAATGGAGACATTACTGGGCCCACTCAAGCAAATTGATGAACAACGGGAGGACCGACCAACCGCTAATAAAACTTTGACATTTTTCTATTTGTGTTGTACCAAAAAACCTAAAGTTATGTTTTGTTTTGGTGTCATTTTGGAATCGTACTGATGGTACTGATGAAATTTGCTTTTGGCGGCAGACTTTACTTCACTAACAAAATGTCCACGTGGCAGCAAACATCCTTTCTTCCTCTCTTTTCATGGCTAAGTGACATCCATTGATTGCACATTTATCAGGACACTGAGGCTGGTGGACGGCTGAGTGTGGACACTCTGTTTATTCCTTAGAGCCCTGGCGCTGGTGTGTGTCCGGATGTTTACAACACATTTTGACTGCTCTAGAAACATTTACCAATCAGCTTTCATGTACAAACAGACTTTCAGTTCTCAGGGTCTGTTAGGAGAACTGTCCTTGTCGCATTAGTGCCCCCGCTATGTTTCAGCAGCTGCTAGGGTACTCCAGGACCATCTTCCATGCCCTCCAGCGGTGGATGCACGGGTGGTCGGTTTGTTTCGGGTTTTTATTTTTTTTTTCTCTTTTTGGGTCACACCTAGCGATGCACAGGGGTTACTCCTGGCTCTGCACTCAGGAGTTACTCCTGGCGGTGCTCAGGGGACCATATGGGATGCTGGGAATCGAACCCAGGTCGGCCACGTGCAAAGCAAACGCCGTACCCGGTGTACTATCTCTCCAGACCCTGTTTCGGTTCTTTAATTCATTTAAGATGTTGGCTGGTGCATACGACTGGTGGCTCACGCTTGGATGTCACATTGGACATACGGTACCAACAGAAATGATTATTGTTGTCAAATGTTCACCTTACACTTTAGTTCGGTGACAAGGCATTAAGAGTTAAGTCATCAAATGGCGGGAAAACCAAACTGCAGCACCAGCCTTCAGCGCGTCAATCAAGACCTAAACAACAAGACCTTTGAAAGGGAAATGAGTATGCATGCATTTCCGAGAGTCATCTTTGCCATTTTAAGAAATTCAGCCATACTTTAAGAAAGATAGATCTGGGGTTGGAGCAATAGTACAGTGGGTAGGGTGTTTGCCTTGCACACAGCCGACCTGGGTTTGAGTCCCAGCATCCCATAAGGTCCCCCAAGCACTGCCAGGGGTAATTCCTGAGTGCAAAGCCAGGAAGATCCCCTGAGCATTGCCAGGTGCGACCCAAAAAGCAAAAACAACAACAAGAAAGATCACACCTGTGCCCATAACAGTTCAGAACCACAAATATCTAAAATTGCCAATGGTTTTACAATGGTAAGTGAAGATTATTGAAATTCTCCAAACACAATAGTACAGCAAGGGAGGGCATTTGATCCCCTGCATCCCATA